GAGAAATAAAAAAATTTTTATATTATATCAATATTATATTAGAATATTTTGGATTCTATGCTTCTAATTTTTAAATACAGATCTACGTTATGGATATATGTGACAAATACTATAGTAGAAACAAAAATGCATGTGAAAATAGACGTTTCCTTCCAAATTAACCAATCAAACCTTCGAGACTTTTTTCCAGCAATAGATATATAACGTATAAATTAAAATGACAAAAATGTATATTTATTAGTTATATACAGGATACCTTGAAACATTCGGAAACAGAAGATTGCCAAAATAATTTCAATTATTATTTTTCTTTTGCAAAAATTTTTATTACTTTTATTAACGAATTGTTAAAACATTGGTCAATCACGAAACATAAATCCAAGCAACGTATCTCGAAAAGAAAAATATCGAATACGACAAATATTTTTTTTTTTTCCTCTCTTTTGAAATTATCTCGGCAATCTCCAATTTATCTCCAGCTGATATTCCAACGAGAAATGTTTCACCAAATTTCATCATCGATATCACGATAATAGAGTACAGATCGAATTCGATGGGTGCGGTGATGACCAGGAACTCGGAGATGTTCAGTTCCCTTCTCAGCGACACGGAACAACACTTCAGACAGCACAGAGACAGTTTATCGCCCCGAGTTGAGAATCGATCGGCGATCGTGCACTCGGAGACGAACGCGAACGCGAACTCAAGCACCTCGTCGGAGGAGTCGCGCGAGGAGAAAGCGACTACGTCCCTGGAAGCGGAGAAGCGAGAGAAGAGCGAGCATTGCGAGAAGGGCAAAGAGTATTACTCGACTTCGTTCCACACCGATATCGGCAACTCGCAGTCGCTCGCGCATCAGGACCAGTGTTGCCCTGGCTTCACCATGACGAAGAGCGGCAAGACGCGTCACCAAAACACCGGATGTTGCATCGCTTAATCGAATTGAATTTCGTTCTTCCCCCTCTCCTCTCTCCTTCCCTCGATCGTGATCTTCGCGAGCATAAATCTTCTGTTATTGAAAATCGACTGTATGGGTGTGAATATGTGTGTGTGGTGTGTATATTGTCGAAGAAACCGACGTGTCGTGCAATTCGTAAAGATAACACTCAAAAAAAGTGTCTTAAATGAAATATCATTATACATAGCGTAGTGTTGTTAATCTTGATAATCGTGTATGTCGAGTATTTTAAATGAGAAAGAGGAAACGAATGAATTTCCTTGAAAGATTTTTTTTTTTTCTTTTAAATTTCACATTTGTCCTCCACTGTTTCCGTGAATATGAATCACCGTGTTAGATAGCTTTAAATTTGTCCGACAAAGAAAACATTTGTCATATGAACGAAGGCAGAAATTTAATTTTCAATAATTTTCATGTAATCATATAATTTCCATTATCGAAATTATCGAGTGCAATAAAAATAGAATCGTTCGTGTTTGTTTCTTTTTAAAATAATCGTATTTTTTTTTTATCTATTTGGGTCGTAATCAATTACGTATATCAATAATGAATACTCAAATGGTTGTTAGCTATTATCTCGTAAAAGTGACGAGTAGTAAATATACCTAATGTAAAACATATAAAAAGAAATGTTTTCAATTTTAATTTTGTAAAAATATTAATTAAACACGAATTAAATATTTAAAACGGAATATGTATAAATATCGAGGAATCGTCAAAAATTTACGAATACTTTTTTCAATTAACCTTTTTACTTACCCACCGATGATACTTCTTTATCGATATTTAATAAATTAACGCGTCTTTTTTTGTCTTCTTTCTTTTTCTTTTTTTTTAACTAATATAACATGATCGTTTATATATTTTTTTATATTTTATCAACTTTTTTATATCAAAACTTTATATCACGAATATATATCCATCTCGTTATCTATATTTTTTTAAATGTTAGAATCGAAGTCAGACTATCTCAATCTCAATACAATCGGTTCAAGAATAATTTCTATATCTTTCTCCACTTCACGTTTTTAATTTAGCTCTCATTTTTTTTTTTTCAAAATTATAGACTATCAGTAAAAGTAGCTGAATTAAGTCCGCAAATTGCGTAAATTGCCAACTTGCGCTTTTCAACTTTCGTAATACGGTCCGAACGAATCAATTTATTCCTTGAATTAATTACAGCCTTTCAAACGGAATGTCTAACGATAGTAATTACAGTTCCTGTCGAGTGGACTGTCAACATACGTATCGGCAAAGTTGCTGGGATCAGTTTTTGGAAAGTAGTCGCCGTAAAAAGATATTAAAATTCTTAGAATGGATGGTATTCAGTTCGAGTATCTGCGAGTGAATAAATATCTTTTGTTCGTGTTAAGCGCATGGCCTTATCAAACCATTTTTCAACGAAGTCTGGTTGGAATTATCTTCATCCCCATTGTTATCGCTCAGCTAATTCTTCAGGTATCGGTGCATTTGAATAAACATACGTTTATTATTTTTTTTAAATATAAAAAATATAAATATATATATAATTATAATTATAATTATTCAGATACACTTAAGGAAAGTACAATAATATTAATTTAAAAGGAAGGTTGGAACTTATATTTATACTTATACGGATTTAAATATTTTTTTTTTCAGTTTGGAGGAATGATAACTGCCATAATTGCTGGTGATATCGAGTCATTTTTGGAAAGTTTTGCACCTTTAGTTATTAGTTTAATGTGTTTTGTTAAGTATATCAATTTCCTATATTATTTCAATCAGGTACGCGTTTCAACTCTCTCTCTCTCTCTCTCTCTCTCTCTCTCTCTCTCTCTCTCTCTCTCTCTCTCTCTGTTCCAATTCCATATAACCTTAATATTTACATTCGAATAGATGAAACGTTTGATGGATATAATGCAAAAGGATTGGAAATTTCACGCGAAATTGAGAAACGAATATGAAATTCTTTGCGAGCATTACGCGATAGCAAGAAAAATTACTACCAGTTTTGTAGGTGAGATAATTTTAAATAAATTTCTAACAGATTGTAAAGAAAGCTTTCTCTACTCAAGATATCAAGATTACTTTTATTGTAAGGAGCTAAGAGAAAAGAGAGAGGGAGAAAGAGATTTAGAAAAAAAACCTTTTTAATACTTACGAGGATCGTTGCGTTAATTCGTTGCATACAACAGCTTTTCTATTCGGATTAATAACACCGTTCGCGGCGATGCCATTGCTGCTGAACATAGGTGACGCTTTACGACTTTGCAACATATCGGATGACAGACCGTTGGCCTTTCGAGTCGAGTATTTCGTGGACGTGGATAAATATTATTATTTTCTTTTGATACACTCATACATTGGCACTCTTGGATATACCACCATTGTATTGGCCATCAATTCGATAATAATCGTTTACGTTCTACACGAATGCGGACTTTGTGAAATTTTGAGGTAATTTTTTTTTTTTTTTTTAATATATGCACTTTTTTGGAGACAAAGCGATTCGTCCAGTGAATGAACATTATTGCTCACATTGTACGAAAAAGTAATACTTTCTGATCGAAAAACAGTATTTCTAATGAAATCTATAGAAGTCACATTGAAGAGATTTTCTTTTAAAATATAAAAATGAAAGAATATATAGAGAATCATGTTTTCTTAAAAAAATATTTTAATCCATTTTCAATCCAAACTTTTAATAACAAAATGAAACATTATGTTAAGAATTATATTGCTGAATGCATCATTTTGATAATAATACCGAGGGAATCAAATAATATGATTTGTAAATATTATTTTAAAAGAATTTCATTCACTTGGATATTTCATCCTATCAAGGATAAAATTATGAAAATAAAATGAATCAATTTATAATTGTTCAGAGTGAAACTAGAGAATTTTGTGGAAACCGATGCAATGGACATAGAATTACGCCCAAATAAATTCAAAGAGGATAAATGGTATCAAAATGCCAGGGACTGTGTACTCTTGCACAAACGCATAATCGAGTCAGTATTAAATTAATTCTTATTTATCTTTTCTCTCTCTTTTTTTTTTTTTATTATTTTTCAAATATCCTGCTTTTTTTCATTAATCAAGATTCGCTAAAATACTCGAGGATACAAATACCACGTCTTACTTGCTTCAGCTAGGACTCAATATGATTTGTATAAGCTTCACACAATTCCAGGTTAGATTTTTTACTTTAATTTTATATTAGTTACAAATTGCTATTTATACATCGATCTTTTTTTTTTTTTGTTTTTTTATATAATCAGGCAATAATAAATATAGAAGACACGCCCAAAGTTCTTAGATACGTTTCAGTCACTATTTCCCTTTTGTGCGATCTTCTGTTCGTCAGTTGGACGGGGCAACAGTTATCGAATTCCACCGAACGTATTTTTGAATACACGTGAGAATTTTTCTGCACTCATTCACTTATATTATATATATTTATTTTATATACGAATAAATAAAAAAAAGATCATCGAACGAGTAAAAAAAAAAAAAAATATTTCCAGAACAAATGGGAAATGGTACCAATCGTCGATAAATTGTAGAAAACTTTTGACAATAATGCTGTCGAAAAGTATAGCACCGTTGAGATTAACAGCTTGCAAGCTCTATACTTTAAATTTAGAAAGTTTCACTACGGTAAGAATTTTTTTTTACATCGATCTTCCTTTTCAAACTTTTTAATCGTCTTTAAATAATCTTATCTTCCGAGTTCGTCGATATAATCTTATCTTAATCTTTCTTTTTTTAAACGTAATTATAGATATATATATACTTCCAACATTTCGTAACCGTTATTTCCAAACCGTTTTCACATTATTATTTATTCTCTCGATTCTTTAAGATTGCCAAAACATCAGTCTCTTACACAATGGTACTGTGCTCCCTTCAATAATTTCGAATGGACGATTATCAAAGAGAAAGAGGAGGAGGGGGGAGAAGACGACGAGGAAAATTGTAAATGTATTATCAAAATAAAAAATGTAATCGTAAGTAATTCGATGTGTGAAAATTTTTACGAGAAAACATCGATATTTTTTTTTCTTTTTCTTTTCTTCTCTCTTCCACTTTCATTCGCGTTTTTATTTTCATCGTCGAATCGCACCGTAACGCACCGTTTCGTCGTCGCGCGCCATATGGCTCTCGTGGGCCGATACTTTTTCGAGAAAAATAGATCGTCGACGGTGAAAACGGCAACACCGATCTATCACGGTTCGAGCCACGCGCCCCACCTGGGCTTAATTGATTTTCAGTGGCCATCGAACGAGTCGTTCGAACGTCGATGAAAACTTGTTAACGACTCTGTCACGATTTACGACGTTCATCGAAAACCAATTATCAATTATATGTCGAAGGAAGAAATAGAAGTGATCGCAATTTAACGGATCATAGATGGAATTAAAGCGAATCTTGCCACGATTCGTCATGAGATAACGAAGGAATGATTGTGAAGGTGTACACAACTTAATAAGAATTAATACAACTCGTTAAGAAACTCGTGGATGAAAATTTTTTTTTAACGATTCGTCACATCCGACGCGAAAACTAATTATATTTTTCAAAGGGTGAAATAATGGGAATGGTTCTATTTGAAGTATTTATATGATATTTATCGGTGAATTATAATAAAACTCGTTAAATCTTCGCTAGATTAACGAATTTGTCAATGAAAAAAAATGTATGTAAAAAACAAATTATAATTAAGAATTATAAAAGTTCAAGAATTATAATAATAAAATATTACATCTTTGCTAGATTAAAAAATTTCTCAACGAAAGAGACTAATTATATTTCTCAAAGGAAGGAATAACAAGAACAATCTAGATTAAAGAATTTGTCAACGAAAAAAAAAAAAAAAAAAAATTTAATTACAAAATAACAAGAGTGATCCAAAATCGAGAATCGTGAACCTTCATTGATAAAATGCTAAATTAAAAAATTTATCAACGAAAAAAAAAAAAAATCTACAAAATAACAAGAATGATCCAAATTCGAGGATCGTGAACTCTACTCGTAGTCACAAAATAAAAGCGAAAATAAAACTCGCGTCCTTGCCGGGTTAACGAATCCTGGAGGCGGTCTGCACCGTCACATCCGAGTGGACAAGGTTTTTTCCCCCGTGGAATCGGCCCTCTTTATCCTGAAATCTGCCGCGCTCACCGGGGTAACACCTTGCGGCGGCCCAGGTTGGCGCAGGGCACGCGCCGGCAACCAGGGGTAGATCCGAGATCGATATCTTTAATTGTCTCAAGGCGATTCGTCTCGACCGTTGCATTCCGATAATTTTCCCTCCATTTAGTCCTTGTTCTAATCCACTGCTGATTGTCGAACTGATTGTGGATGATTTTTATTATATTATATTAGTTTATTCGTTGATAATATTTCGGCATCGAACGCACAACTCACGTGAGTATATATAAGTTTCTTTTTTCTTTCCTCCTGTTCTTCGGCTTCTTTTTATTCCCGGCGATGATCGAGACACGCTTATTATATTTTTTCCAGTCTCCGTAATGAAGGCATCTGTCGTTTCATCGATACGAAAGGAGCAAAGGAAACGATTTTTTTGTAGCCTGAAAACGATACAATGTAATAATTCGCACGTGGTTATTAAAAAATACTGGATCTCCCCTCCTTTCAACCCACTCTCCACACAGATCCAAGAATATTAAGCGGAATTTAAATCAACAGGTACACTTCCTCCCCGCCATTCGTTATCTAAATCAACAGGTACGCTCCCCTGTTCTCCAGGAAGTGCTCAACTCGAGTGTGGAACAGTAGTAGTAGAACACGAGGAAGGAGTAAACGAAAAATGGTGATGGTGTGAGGGGTAAGGCGGAGACGAAGAGAGGGTAGATGCAGAAGGAGGCAGAGAACGATGGCCACACCAGGTGCATCCACGGAATGGACATAAAACGTACCATATGTTGATGCGGTGAAGGACGCCGTGGCACGCGCCACACTCAAACTCGAGCCTTTACACCGCGAGGATCGCCGACTCCTCTTCTCTCTTCATTATCGCCATTGCCCGCTGATGACACACGATCCCGCTTCGTTCCGTGTTCCTTGCGTCTCTGGAAGAAATTACAAAACGACGAATTAAATGGAAATGTCGATCGGTAATCATGTGATACCGGTTCATTTCACGTTTCGTGTGTCATCGAATGTTGGACGAATTGAAAGCTTCGAGGGAGATTTATGTTTTTTTCGACTATAAGTGAAAAACGAAAATTGCGTTTGAGTTTAGTTTCGATCATTCACTTCATTTGTTAGAAATCGCAGTGAAAATTGAAATCGAGTCAAAAGTGTTCTTGGAAAAATTCGGTTCCAAAGAGGAAAAAATCGTGCTATCGTTTTATCTAATGACATGTTAAGAAGGCTATATAACACGTTAAGAAACAACATGGTTAAAGACTTTAAAATTTGGCGAATGAAGTAACAGAAAGGTTTGGTGGAATTTATTTATCTTTTATGAAACGTTATTTCAAAAGTAAATAAAACGTAAACAGTCGTTGAAACTATGGCTCTTTTATCGAATCACCACGAATACCCAATTTCTTCTGAAATTGTAACGACCGCCTATCAGGCCGCGACCAAAAGTTACGACACTTTGTATCCCTCGCCGTACAACTCTCCGAATTACGATCCCATCAAGGTATCGTACGGAGAGAATTACACGCATAAAGGTGAGCTCACTCCGCGAAAAGACTCTGAGACGATTAGTTATGGGAAAGAGGTAGTGAAATATTCGAGAACACCAGATTCGTACGAAAGAAGCTCCTTTAGCGTTTTGACACCTGTCACACCTCAAAGGTAAGTTTTCAAATTTTTCTCAAGAAATATCTTCGTTAATTCATTGTGTTGCATATGTCTGTTATTTGTTTGTATTCGCAAATATAAAATTTATGTTGTAATTGTGTATAAATTAAGTTGCATGGATTACTTAAATAGAATTTTAACAAATTATGAATCTTATATTCGAATAATCACAGTGATTATGCCTTTTTAAAAAATTAAACCTATAGTTTTTTAGTTATAATTATTATACGAGTTTCGAATAGTTCTTTAATTAGGAAATAAAAAATTGAATAAAATAAAAGAGAATTATGCTGATAAAAAAGAACTTTTAATTAAAATTTAAATTACCGTTATCGTAATTGTATCTTTCACACGATATAATTGTCAAAAAAGCAATATATAAGAATGAAATAATTATTAATGATCACATGTTTTTCTTATATTCTCATTATAATCAATAAATATTAGACGTTAGTTGAAATTTCACGAAAATTGATATAATAATTTTAACAGGTATGAACCACAGCACGCGATAAATCAAACCGTTTCTCCAAGAACGATGCTACACGAAGACAATTCCATGGAGTATCAACCATCAGCCTATTGTTACGAAACACCACCTCAAGAACAAAAGTTTCAAATCCTCGAGAGCGGGAAACCGATGCAAATGGTTGTCGAGCAACGAAATAATTCTTGGGAACCTGTTACATCTGTGCAGGTATATCTCAATGGAACATTTGACATTTAATCGAAAAGTGTCTGCGATCGTATAACGAAAAATTTAAGATACTAAAGTATTAACTATATTTCGGAAGAAAAAAGTTTTTATCATAAATTGATATTCGAATGATGAAAGACTGAATTAGCATGTGTTTTTATAATGACAATAATACGATTATTTTTGTAGAAACAAGTATCACCTACCAATAGTCCCCGAAGAGGAAGACGACGATCCAGGGATATACCGCCATCGCCAAGTGTATTAAAACGTCGACGTTTGGCAGCGAACGCACGCGAAAGACGTCGAATGAACGGTCTGAACGATGCTTTCGATAAATTACGCGAAGTTGTACCGAGTCTTGGAGCAGACCACAAACTTAGTAAATTCGAGACATTGCAGATGGCGCAAACTTACATCGCGGCGTTGTGCGATCTTCTTCAGGAACACGATGGAAAGTGGCAGTGAATCAATGTAAGTTTATTTATTTAGATTATACATTGTGAAATTAAAAAATACAATTGAATTCTAGATGAAAAAATTATGGTTTGTAGCCGAATAATGAATAGATATAATAAAGAAAGAGAAATATAAGGACTGATAAAAGGAAAATTATAATTATTATAATAGTATATAATAATATACTATAATATAGAAAGTTTTTTGAGAATTAGATAAGTTTGTCATTAAGTTTGTCATTTAATTTTTTACTTAATATAAATCGTGTGTAATATTTTCTTGATGAAAATTAATTTGCATGTAATTTGTATCTTTCATTTATAAATTTATAATTATAAATTGTATACGATGTAGACAGCTAATAATCCAAAGAAATGTTCTATAAATTTATGAACTTGCATTAAAAACAATTAGATTGTCATTAAACAAAGGCTTTGATATTATTTTTAATTTCGTATCCGTGCCATTATTACTAGTACAATATTTTAAATGATATTTTTATATAAGTATTAGAAATTTTACATAACTCTATGCACATATAACGTATTACGAAATTATAATAGAATTAATTATATATGAAGATGCTTTGTAAAACAATTTTTTAATTGTAATAATACGTTTTACTATTTCGAATTTTTTTATATTATTTTATATTAAATTTTCCCGTTGAAAGTGTTAGTGATTTATACATGTATTGTATATTTATATATTTATTGTGTAACTAGTCAAAAATATTTTGAAAAACAATTTCAAAATTTGTAAAGCTAAGAATTTTTCTAAACCGTCCATTTAATAATATAAATATTATACGAAACCAAAGAAAACGATTATTAAATAATGTCATAAAGATTCAAACAAGTCGAATAACAATAAATAATTTATAAAATAAGTAATTTTATAAATATAAGTAACATTATGTCATTATTAAATAAATTAAATAAATTGAATAAAAAAAATTTATATCAAAACTATTGTAAATAAAATATTTAATTGAATTGAAAAAATATTATTTCATCTTTAATATATTTATAATTGTGTTTCTTAACATAAAAAAATATATTATTTTTAATTAACCGGAAAAAGTGAGAAAATAAAAAAAGGAAAGAATTTGTGAGACAAATGTGTGATTGAATACAAACCTTGAATTTGGGCGTGGCTAAAAATGATCGAGTTTTCAAAATTGGTGTCTCAGGTAAAATTTATCCCGATTCTTCACCCAGGATTATGATTTGAAGATACAAAACGATTCTCGTATTTTCCGCTGCATTTGTTACTACATTTTAATCCGATATTACGTTATCATGATAATAGCAGTAACATATAAGTACAATAGATATATATATATATCAATCTAATATTTAATCTATTAATTTCTATCCTCAAATTTCTATCTAGGAAACACATCGTTTCTTCAATAACAGGGTTCTCAAATATTTCGTATATTTTAAAATAGTTCTAAAAAGTAATTTCGTTCGTGAGAAAAGTTGCGACAAAAGGGCGGTTTCAAGGTTAAATTAGCGCATGGCCGATAGACGATACTCTAGCAAAAATTACATCCTCATTACTAGAACGTGTTGTTCGATAACGAGCCGTAACCGGCCAAGTCTTGTGCTTGGCTCCCAAAGGGGAAGACGATTCGTTCCAGGCTGCGAGAACGACCGAACCGTCGTGAATTTTGTGACACCTCGCTACCCTTATGGTGTCAAAGTCAGCACCCTCGACGGAATTACGATTCCAGCCACCTGACTCCGTGTCGAAAGATTTTGCCACCGCTCTCTTAGGATAGACCGCAAAACTCGTTAACCCTTTTCCATGATTAAAACGCTCGTTGACCGATCCGTAACGGAGGGATTTGTCGGAAAAATTTTCTAGCCTAGCTTCAGAGAAAATTACGCCGCCGAAATTCGTTTCGAGAACTCCCATGACATCGTGTTTCTTCAAATTCATTGTGTGGACGAGAAATTTTCCAGGAATCGAGGAAAGAAGAAAACAAATTTTAATGAATATTTTTGAGAGAAAGGATTTTTTTATTTTTTTTTATGATTTAATATTCGAGGTTTATTTTTATAATACTTGTTAAAAACAATTTCTTCGTAGAACACTATGCCATAACAACATTGAATATAAAATAAATATATAGAATATAGAACATATATACAATAAAAAAGACGCTTAAAAAAATAAATTTTTTAATACTTTGAAAAGTAAAATTATCAAAAGATGAGACCAAACATGGCGTCGCCAAACGCATTTCCCAACTTTCATATTGAAAGGGTAAGGAGAAAACCCAGACAATTTGATAGAAAGTAAAGCACACAACACACACACAATGATGCTCCAACGATTTTCTCTTCGAAAGGAGAGAGGGGAGAGAGGAGTTTCCACTTAGTGATCATGCTAGAAGTAAATACGCTTTTTTTTTTTTTTTAACCTGACTCTGTCAAGTGTATTTATAATTGTTTCTTTTTCAACTTGTCTTTGCAAGTATTTATAGCTTAATTTCTTCTAACGTCATGATGACGGATTTATGAGTACACCACTTTTTTGAGTGTGAAATAAAGAGAATCCTGGGCCAATAGTCACTGCCATTCGAACCCAAAAACGATTCGCACACTCGATAAAGAAAGACGTTTCATAAACTATATAGCGATGACACACATACATTTCGACGAAGCGTAGGAAACACACGCTAGAGTGTTTGCTAGGCTAAGAGGAAAGAAGGGAAAAGAGAGGGGTTTTGTGCTTCACAAATGTTGGTCATTGCGTATGGCGGCGCCATGGACCTCACCAATGCTTTTAGTTTGGAATCTCTATTATATACAGATTGGTATATGAACCGAATGCTAGCGAGAAACCAGTTACAATCTCTGCGACATCTGTGTATAGTGGAGTAAACTTTTACTGTGCAAGTTGGCCTACAGCTAGGCGCAATGATAAACGATCAATGTGACGTGTGCAAAAAAAAAAAAAAAATTGAAATTACATAATAAGTCAGTAAAAACATAACGTATGCATTATACATACGATATTCTGTAAATTGCGCAGGTAAAAATAAAAATTGTTTCATCAATTGCATAATGTGAAAAATTTCAATATTTTCAATATTTCAATATTTATATAATGTTATATAATATTTTTTGTTAAATAAAATATATCACTAAAGGAAAATTATGCATTTATAGTAATATAATCTGTAAAATTAGAATTAAAATATCTTATCGTATCTTTTCAGTATATATTTATAGTGCTCATATCTAATTTTTAAAATAAATTTCAACTTTTGTTTAAATCCTAGTTTGAATTCTAATGTTAAATTTATATTATATATAAATTTTATATTTGTTACAGATTAATTTTACAATTTCATAGATTTCACAATATGCGTATCGATTCAAAATTATCGTTCCATTCTTGTCAGTTTTCCACACCTAACCTTCATTATTTACCTAATATCTGTGGTGGCACACCGCGCGTTGAAAGCGTCGCCTAAATTATACTTCGATTAGGATGATGATCCTGAAGATTCATAATTTCCAGTTGTATTATATTGACCGCTTGTATTCTATGACCGCAAAAGCGTCAGAGTGCGGCGACAGAAAACGAGTAGGCGCCAAAAGAAAAAAGAATCACAACGAAATTATGGGATTCATAGGACATGAGCGAAAACCGAAACCAAGTGTAGTTATTACATTTTTAGAAAAAAATTAGGCCGCATTTTGACCAAAAACACAAATCTTTTCAATACGAGAAACCTCTTTCACACCTCTTTTTCCGTTCATCGTCGATCGGTCTAACCTATGATTTTGACGCGTGGCGTCAGTTGTATGAAAATAAGAAACTCGAAATTTTGAATACATGATCGATTTAACCTTGATCGAATTCCTTATGTTTTATGATTAATATATATTAATGAATAATTAATATGTAATGTAGTAATTATGTAATAATGTAGTAATGTATAATTAATATATATATATATTTTTTTATTTAAATTATTTCATAAGTTTTTAACAATTTAACGAAAGGAAAATATTCGTATATGTTATACAAAACCACTTATTCAAAGCTACAGATAAAGTAAAGAATTAAAACAATAAAAAGAAAATAAAAATATAAAGAAAAAGAGAAAAAAGAAAATTAACAGAATAAAAAAATAAAAGATGACAAAATAATAGAAAAGTACGCCTATGATGTGATGGCCGCTGATGGGAAGACATTCTCAACAAAAGTGATAACAACAATTAAGATTAACAGACTTTTCAGTTTTGAGGAAAATCCAAATATTTATTTAAAGATATATTAATTAAAAAAACTATTATTATTAAATCATTAGATGCAGTGTTCAATTTCATTCGATTGTCGAACCATATGTTTTTATTGTTCGCATAAATTATTATCTTGATGCCAATTTTTTCAGACTGCAATTTCTTACCGCTTGTCATTGAACACGTACCATCGTATTATCGACACGGCACGCGCTCTGTCCGAAATATGGCGAACAGATGATTTCAATGAATGCCCCCAAAAACTGTAGGTGCATTCACGTGAACATCAAATTTCGCGCGAACAATCATGTCGATATCACTATTGGGAGATAAATAAGCTTTGTACATCGAACAAGTGTTTCGAAAGATCGAAACAGATCTGAGTCAGGTCACGAATAAACGAATTTGTTTTGTTATGTTATTTTTTATAAATAAAATTAAAAATTATATTAATAATAATTATAAACAGTTCATAAAATTTTACGAAATTTTATAATAAATTACTTTATAATAAATAAGAATGAATCGACAAAAATAGTTTTCAAGATTTATTCTAACATTTAGAATTTATTAAAGAATTTATTAAACAATTTAAATAAAGTGACAAATGATCTTGTTATATTTTATCCTTCATATGATTTAACAATTAGAAATTTCCTGTTGACAAGATCGCTTGTTACAAAACAATTTTTAACCATCGATTTCGAGTGACAACGTTCTACTAGGCAATTAGAAGATAATTAATCCCCTACATCACATTTATAGTAGCCGGTTACCAAGCACAGTCACGCTTTGCTAGTCAGGATGTAACCGATGCAACAGATGACACCGGCCTTCCGATGCCACCACCCAAGCTATCACTATACCAAGAATACCGCATTCATTCTCCGCCCCATAGACTCGTGCCATGTGGCGATCCCCTTGTCCACGTGGAACCATCTTCCGACACGTCATCGGTACAGCTAATTTACGATCGTGCCGCACTTTGTCCCGAACAGATATGCCTGTCGACTTTGGCGAACCGAAAGGATCGACCGATCATTCGACCCCTTGAGGTTTTCGATTATCTTCAGGCTAGTTAAAAGTTGATTTCGCTAACGATTGGAAAACTACCATAGTATGAAATGTTTTTTTTTTCAAAATAGAAATTTTGATTATGGATCTTTTAATCTTTTTATTTTTATCTTTTTATGGATGGAAGAAATTTTGAATTTTAAAATTAAATTTAACAAAATTAAATTTTGTTTAATTTAACTTAATTGAATAATAGTTAATAGAATTTAATAATATAAATAATGGAAATCTAATCCTGAGCAAATATTAAACACCAAAAAATTCTCGAACAAGTAGTATTAAATAAATTACCTGATGAGAGTTTTACCTTTATGGAATAAAACAAGCTTCCTCAAAGTATGCTGCATCCTGAGCGCATTTCATGCAAGCATGCGCAAAACAAACGCTTTATCTCGTCGGAGTTGACTCGAATGTATCTAAAGCCGAGTATAGTACACGAACTGGATAATCAGTAAGACACAAATCTTTATTCTTCCTTTGTCGAGCGGCACTTCGCACAATGTCGTTGAAAGAATTCTCGCGGCTACGAGCGCAACGATTTCTCGAGGTTCGACAGCAAATGTCCATTAGCAACGACGATTTTTAAGGTTAAACGACGATTTATGGCGCGGTGCCCGTTCTCTCACCTTCTTCCTTTTTTTTTTCTTCCCTCATTCTGCTACCTTTAGTTTTGTTCTCGTTTATTCGACAATTGGTATGAAAGTTGCACTATCAGTGAGTTACAGCATTCGGGAACAGGTAAGTTCCGAGTTTTTCGCAACGAGACTTCCGAATCATCAGGTAACTTTACAACAATGTACTGCTGACAGCGCCACTCGTCATGAAACACGATCACTAAAAGATTTGATCAAGATTTGCTTTACCTAAGTGAATTACTATGTTCGTACACGCGCTTCAATTGTTAGTTCTGATGCCGATTGCTGATTCGATCAATAACATTGATCAATTGACTTAGCATTATACATTTAATTTTGTCTTCCATATGATTAAAATTATTAATCTTTGAACTAATATAGTTGATTTAAAAAATTCAAATCAAAACTATGAACATAATTTGTTCTTTTTGTTTTTTTTTATTTTCTCTTTTATTTCTCTCTGTTTTATAAATAATTTTTCTTCCAAGGAAACGTTTTAAACATTTCTCAAAGTGAATACACATCAGCAAAAGACATGAGCGTGGTCCAACTTGAGAAAATAAAAAGTATCAAACCCTTGGTGTATCATTCCGCGTATTCAATTGAAAAAATTGAAAAAATAATATTTGCTCCCTCTACAATATAACGATAGGTTAGTCGTATAACGGCACCGTAATTTTACAACACAGAAGTGCAGCTCGTGGCGCGAAATAACAACCGAGAGACGTATCATTGAAAGGGTCCAGTTATCTGTAAGGGGTAACAGAGGGAGTCCGCGGCTAGAAATGATCGTGTACGAATGCAAAAGCAAAGGGCAGCAGAGGCGAATCAGCGGGGCGTGACCGAGGGGGCACGGTAGCGCAATTGCGAGCCACGTGCCAGTCGCGTGGCACCAACCGACGATTGGGCCGCGATGCGATGGCATGTCGGGACGACGACGGGACGCCGGGACGCCGCTCACTATCTCGTAATGTCCTATTCCAGTGCGTCATGTGCGAGAGTATCGTTGGGCCCAGCGGAGCACGACGGCACGCGACCACGGAAACCTCTTCTTCCTCTCTTTCCCTTTCTCCTTTTCATTCGAGCTCGAACATTGTCTGTTTGATTCGAACAGCTTGGATGTAAGGCAGTGATCATCGCTTGTAAAGGTAAATATTTACATATCCGTATAGAAATGCTCATATTTCGAGAAAAATAAGATTTGAAATAATTGATAAAATAATAATTTTAAAATTTTAAAAAAATTTTAAGATCAGAAATTTATCGAGTATTTGATATATATTTGATATATCGATATATGAACTCATACATTATTGACATGTTAGAAATACTGTTTGGTATTATATCTTTGTTTGGTATTATTAAGCAAAATTACATTTGATGACAAATAATTAACATATCATGACTTTTTGAAATTACATATCCGTTGTTCTTCATTTAGGATTTATCGCTGGTAACGGGAAGATAATGACTGTATGATTATCTTAAGTATCATCCACTGTTTCGTTCCGTCTTCCGTATTTTCATCGCTATCAAGCTATCGTTACAAGATACGCAATTTACATTCTTCACACTCCTCTCTAACATTTTGTAAATGCAAACGCTTACATAAAAACAATACTAATGTAAGAATATAAATTGATTTTTTTACTTCTTTTTTACATACTAATACATTCAGTATTAAATTTCAAACGTATATTTTCATATTTAATTCGCATTTATTATATTTTATATTTAAATTTAAAAATGTATTTTATTATTAAAATATTGATATTTAGAGTCACCTATCGGAATATCTTGGTAATCTCAAATATTGATTGCGCAATTGATTTCTGCGCATAATTATTAATAATTTCAATATTCTTTTTCTCATATAACGCGATTCGTATATTTATATTATTTTATAACTTTATAAAAATTTATTTTTCAAATATTTAATAATTAAATTTTTGCTATAAAAAAAGTTAAGTTGGAAAATTTAATGTAGAAATCGAATCATATTTATATGAATATTTATCTTCTTTAATTTTTATATTAAAAAAAGTATATTCTTTGATCTGAATTACTTTTAAGATTGGTTTAAATATTTATAAATTTCTAAAAAAATAATTATATGAAATACAGGAATAATCTTTTCAGTGAAATTTCTACTGACGTCTATTCAAAGTAATTTTAGTCGATATGATATATATAAGGAATTATAATTATAAAAACTTTGACATTGATGCTATAATTTAGTAATAAATCATAATTAATAGGATAATAATTGAAAATCTATACAGAAAGGAGAACGATAATATTTTTAAGCCATTCTAACGGTAAGTGAGATCAAAAGGCTGAATATAAAGCGAATATTAACGTGAAATGAGCACAAGTGCATGATTGTTCTACAAAAATATCTTACGACTAAAGTACACAAGCATGATTACAAACGAACCAACAGATGAGCTCATAGAACGGCTAATCTCGTGTAACGGTATTGTTTCTTTCGAGTGTAAAGTTTGAAATTAATGACGTTTGATGAAAAATCGTTTATTTTTAATAAGAAAATTTAAACTGAACTTACTTTCAATAACAAATAATAATGAAAGTATTAAAAAGAACAAAAAAAATTAGGTTATGTTAGTCATTTAAAAGTAACAAGGTGCTAAAAGCGACATTTGACTTCTATACGACATGCAACCAAGAAACACGATTTAATTCGAACAATTTGATGTACGACTATCAACGTAACCGTTGTGTACTCATGGGTAACGATCCGTGCAAACAAGCCAAAAGAGAATACCGTCGATAGAAATATTGCACTGTAAACACGTGAATTCCAATGAGCCCGATGCATTTCGACCGTTACGCTCAAGACGGCTGCCATTTGCAACTAATCTACAAAATCTCCCGCCAAAACGAATTCTCTTCCAACCGTGACGTAATTTGTTTTCGCAAACATACTTTTTAAATAGAATAATTTTTATTCTATTTGACGCGAATAAAACCCAATTTTCGGTTGATTGTTTAACCTGCACGAAAGACAGATCAATTTCAATTTAATATATAGCCCTGACTAACGAGTTATAAATTGGTCTGACTCACCCCGTGAATACTGTCACGCTTCATCGCCAATCAATTTTCGGTAACACGATCACGCGATCAATGATCCACAATCTCTTCTTATTATATTACCATACTTCTATCAAAAGATAAAAATAATAATTATATTTTGTGATATTCTCAATCATTAAAATTTATTATTGCTTTATTAGATTATTATTGCTCGAGATAAAATGAGATATTTTTAAAAAATCAAGACCAAAAAAGTTAACATACGAAATATATCGTATTAATATTATTTATTTATTAAATTGAAATGTGCAATTGAAATATACAAGACGAAAGTATTCTTACTTACTAAATAAATAATCTCAATAAATAAGTCTTAATTAATATATTTTTATTTATTTTGATATCTAGAATTGATCTTTCATGAATATATTAATATTCTATATATATATATTCATTAATATATATATATATAATATATTGAAACTGGTAGAACGATAAACCATTTAACAATTTGATTACAGTGAATTATTTTTTACAAATATATAACATTAATCCATAAAAAGTAAAATTTTCTGGATCAGTTTTTTTCTCATTATGTCATTTTTAATCATTATGAAAAGAATAATCGATAAATGATCGATGAATTTTACAATATTCATTATAAAAATTAGTTAAGGATAAAATTAGCAATTGATAACCAAGTCGTTTTTATTTATCAATCATCGATCGCTCTAATTAATCTGTCTGCCATCTTCACACGTCGTTAAGCACACCTTGCCTGCAATTATGTTACTTATACGAACTTTAAATTACCCTCGATCCGGCACGCTTCTTACGTTATACGCTATTTATCTATGCACGCACATTTCGCAAATTTTATACCAATTTGAATTAATATGATCGTAAGAGATCCTAAGAGATGTTAATTTCACGTTTTAATTTTTGGCCAATTGAAAAGTGTATAAAATTATTACTTCCGTGTCTTAATTAATACTTATTACCTTTAAATACTATAATGTTAAATATTAAATATGACACGTGTTTCTGATTTGTATATATTATTATGTATATTAGTCATTTTCAAAATATCGTATTCTTGGAAAGATAGAATACGAAATAAAAAAAAATGTTTTATTATTTATTTTTTTGATTTTTAGTGCAAATTGAGGATAATTCCTTAAATTTGAAACGATAAAGAATAAAGATTCATCGATTCGATAATTAAGTCTAAACAATGCAAAAATTTTGCAAAGGATCCTTCATTCTCCTAAATAATAAATCACAAATGGATCTGTAGCAAAATCCTTGATTCTTGTGCGGTGTTCAACGTGTTAAAAGCTGATTATCCACGATATTTCCATGGTACGATATTATACCTGTAACATTGTCAGACATGAGGATGACGAATCAGTGACGAGTAGTAATAGCGAAAGAAAAACGGGCATCCGTTGTTTCGAGGCTTGATCATGGTAATAATCACGGAGGGATATAAATTAAAGAAAGTAGCGTGTTGCCTGAAGGCCTCATCGTATCCTGCAGAATGGTCAAGATGACGAGGTAACCGTCAGACCTCGTATCCACTTCCTAGGTGGCGATGTGCCCGATGCACCTGGTCACCCGTTATCCCAGGATAACGTCATTGCTCCTATGATTCTCCTATTAATCCGTCTCTCTTCCTTATTTCCCCCTTTCTCCTTGTCCTCGATTTATCTCTGAAAAACATTTAGAAATGATACACGAACGATTATGCCGTACTTTCGTGTTGATCGAACCGATAGATCTCTCGAATATGCTGAGTATGAATCCGCGTACGTACAGAGAAATCATATCCATCAAGAATATTTTCGCTTTTCCTCTTTCAAAAGTTTTAGGTTATGTCATTGGTAGACAGATTCGTGTACAAATATATATATTTTTCTATTCTTCTTTCGTTGTATATTTCTCATTCTATATTTCACATTGTAAACTATCAATATTCTTTCTTATTGCTAACTGAAATATACAATAAATTTGTTCTTTCACATATCCTTCTTCTATCTCACACCAATCATCACATTTTATACTATATATTTTATACTATAACTTAATGCAATAATTAAACGATACAATTATAATATATTTTTTTTAGATTAATGTTTCAAATATTTAGAGATAAATAAATTTCAAGATACATACGAAAAATCATCTGTTTTTCCTTTTCCTCTCTCGATAATTCAAAAGTTTTAGGTTATATCAATGCAGATTCGTATACAAATATATATTTCTCTATTTTTTTTCTTTTTTCGTTGTATATTCGATACACAAATCTCAATCTCAAATCTTTGATCCAGCATTGTAAACTATTAATATTCTTTTGTCTTATTCTTAACACATAAATCGAAATATACGCTGAATTCGTTCTCCACATATCCTTTCATCTCTCATACCACTTATCATGGATATACACTCATACATATATCCTTATACTAACTCCTGCAATAATTAAATGATAGTTATATATACAATGATAGTACACATCTTTCCTAACTTAACGTTTCAACCACAGAATCCTGTTCGTGTCGAAAACATTACGGGGAAAGTCGTCCGTGAACGTTTGAACTTTGGTTTCACTTATCTCTCGTCATTTCTCCCGTATCATCGTCCAAGAGGCTTCAAGCGAATGACGATTTGTCTCTTTGAAGACGAGTAGACTGGGAATAGATCATCCGCCTTGTACAATTTCGAAGAGATATTGATACGTCGAGGAGATATCGTTGCTTCGATACCCGGATACGTAACTCTTTCCAAACAGATTATGTCCAGTTGAATTTCACTTCGACCAGGTGAAAAAATTGCTTATGCTCGGTTAATTATCCATGTTTGTATGAAAAGAAAGCGCGAGGATACACTTACGGATCGCTGTGAATGTTAACAATCCTTTGAAATCTAATTCACTCTTCGAAACTGCCTGTTTTCGTTTTCGTGAAATCTAGTTTCTGTTCTATATACTTCTTTTAGAAAGAGAACATGCATTGTTATTGTTGTGAATATTTATAAAAATATTTCCATAATGAAACATTTAATTCAGTATAATTAATTTTATTTGTTTACTTCATTTATATTTCACATCAATGCTACAATATCAATGCTAATTGTTCATTCGTTGATTCACACGTAGATTTAACTTACAACATTTTTTTGATTTATTAAGTAGTTCAGATACGTATACTTATTCGTTAAACAAATGCAAATGTTCATTGCAATCATTGTTAAATCGTTTATTTATAATTACCATCAATACGCAACACGCATATGCAATAGGGCTAATTATTTTCAAGCGAATCCTAACCTATTCTTCGTAGTTTATTCAAATTCATTCATCGTTGATGAAAATTTATCGCGATTATCGGTTAATTAACCATTACGACAATACATCTTTCGTAAAAATTCAAATAGTCGTAACACGCACGAATTTGTTCACATATCGAAGAGGAAATCACACTTGTCTACGATTTATACTTGTATCAGCATCTCCATACGTAACTGCGTCAAGGATAGTTTGCAAGCATGACGAAGCTTCGCGGGAGCCGGAAAATCGTTAGCTAGGGTATTCTGAAGTCGATGAGACCCCGAGTATCTTTACAGACAATCATGTCGAGAAGATTTCCTCCAACGAGGTCTTGTTACGAAGAAAGCGTTGTGGAAGGAAAAGTAATCGTTTCAGGGTAGAATTTGTGAAGGAAACGCGTATATGCGTACAATAAAATGTGCAATAACATTCGAATGATAAATATAGATTTCTATTTGAAATTGAAAAGTTTGCATAAAGAATAATTTTTATTTTTTAATTCTTATTTTTGATGTCTCTGAATATCACGAAAGCATTCTAGTTTCTCAACGCTTTCTTATATTACATAATCGATAGAAATCTTACTTTTTGTCTATAAATGTATTATAATCATATGGTAAACATTACATCGTATTAGCAATTATTTTCATTACTTTTGGCATTGTTAATTAATATATATATATATATATATATATACACTAGAAGGTACCACATTCAATATTTGTTGAATAAAAGTGGGGATACGATACATTTTAGAACATTACGCAATTCTTCTTTATCTACGTTCTAACCTGTTTTCCTTAATGCAACTGAAAAATTACGTTATATTTACTAATTGTAGGTTATAAACATCCTAAGAAATAAACAGAGTACATGAATCTTCGAATTTTATTGGGCAATTACCAAATTATTACCGTTTTTAATTATATTGCAGTTATCTGGAACGACTAAAAAGTAACTGTACAATATACGCATGAAAGACTATCCGCGTTAATGCTAATGAAACGGTATACTCTAAGCATCATCGTGTTTCATCATTATTTTTACGACTGTAAACGATGCTATAATGAATTCGAGAAGAATTATCATATCTCTGAGTTATATCTTTCAAACGAGTTCTACGCTTTTTATCGACAAATTGTACCTTTTTTTTTCAAATTTTGAATGTTAATGTTTGATCAGTTTTTTTCTTTTTTTATTTAAATTGATACACAAATGAAAGTTTTGCTTTTTCTTTTCGATTATAATTTTAAGATTGAATCGCAGATCGTATTCATCGGGATAATGGTGAAACGGTAGTATCGTCTACTCTCGCCTGACTTTTTCAAACTCCAATCATTGATACGAACCGTTATGTAGAAATTAATGGATGTCTTCTCCCTGCATGAAGCATTAAACAAGCCGACCTCGTTGCGACTAAATTTATCATTGTTGCAATTTATCCATCAACCGTGAAATTAATAATTACCACGGAAATTATGCTTTCACTGGGTCAGCTTTAAAAATTCATACGCGATATATCTGTTTAAATCTGTTCAATATTGTACGTACAATTATTTCAACTAATAATCGACAAATTTTATCACGTCTTATCGATGTTACAAATAAATTTCTAAGAAAATTTCAATCATACAATAATAAATCTCAATTCTCAAAAATTATCTATTATTAATTATCATGGCACAAGGTATTCCTATAAATTACTTCTTCGTGATCACTTTCATCTCGTAAATCTCGTAATATAAAGAGAAACAAAGAATTCATTTATGGTATCAGATATTGCGTAGCATGATACTTGGTCAGATGTAAATTCGAAAAAGTAGCCAACGCCCACGATCGTCTATTTTTCCTACGATTAACGAGCTGTTGGTGGAAAAAAGGGCAGAAATTGGCAGGGCCTGCATCGTTTTGCGCCTTTGGCGCAACTCAAAAACTCTGTGGCTAAACCTGTAATTAGGACACCTCGGTGTGATTCTAATTAGGGGCCTTGGTTTTGCCATAAATCTCCGCCTGTTACGGGGGTCATGTTTGAACGAACCCCATAAGGAATTGGATCCTTAAATCATCTGGAAAATCGACCTCGAGAGTCGGTAAAGTTTATCTTTGTCTTATTTATTTATTAATCCAGTTATTCAGTTTTTTCTATATTATATCTTTTTTCACACAAAAAAAAAACGATTTTTTTTTACTTATCTTTCTACAATATGGGCAGCTAATATATCAGATTATCATCACAAAGTCTAACACATGATATCCATTGATAATTTGCGAACATCGAAACGATATACGAACATCTGCGTTATATTTATTTATTAAGTTTAATTACTAATTATACTTTATATTATACTTTATAATCATAATTATATTTATTTTATTATTAATTGATACTTTTATTACTATTGATTCGACAAATCCTTTGACAAAGAACAAAAATCAACGGCAAAATCAATATTGATATGCACAGTCTAATGCAACAAAGTACAATGTTTATATACATTGGTTTAGTACATTCACTGGTCCAACGTGTGAAGTTAGTATTAATTTCGTGAATAAACACCGACTTCACGTTTCAAATCCAATTAACGTTGATCGATTCTCGAACGTGTAACAGGAAGGTGTGCTCGAAATGGATGTATACGCATCGAATCACGAATCATTACGTTGAAAATCAGCCTTGTCGAACTGTAACTGTGCCGTGGTCAACTAATAATCAATTCGTGCCCTTCAACGGCCGCAATAAATTTATTATCGGTGGAGCCGGCCGACAGTACGATCGTTCCTCGCCATTATGGATCGATGTGTGCGCAAGCGTGACAAACATCGAGAGGATTGGATCTCGATGTATGGCGAGTTGATTGCATTTGCATACATCCATTACGCAAACATTCGGAAAAATGGGATTTCTTTTGAAGATTGGATGCGTAGCTTCCTGTGTATCTTTCGCTGGATACACAGTTACAACGTAGCGGCGCGATTTATTCGTATTTTTTTTTTTTCATTTTCGCTTGCACCACTCATAGTTGAAGACTTCGATGTTCAACTTAGATGTCATAAATCACGCGGTAGCTTGATTTCAAGCTAGATGAAATGATTGGTAAAATTATTCGAACCAAAGAGAGAGAGAGAGAGAGAGAAAAAAAATTTATCATTATATTGAAAATCATATCGTTGTTAGGTTAGGTTACAGAAGAAAGAAGCATCAAGTTAAGTGAAAAAGTATTGGAGGTATGTTGCTTTCCCTACTACTCGTACATAAATGTGTAAACAATATATGATATATTTCGTGCAAAAATAATTATTCGTTTATTATCGATTTATAACATTGTGTGTATTTTTTAACAGAAATCATTTCTATATTCTTATACGTAATTCAATTATATTTTTTATTTCAAAATTTATTATTTTTTTTCATTTATTCTTTTATATTTACGTTTATAAATATATATATATTTGTTTAGATATCAATTAAATTCACCGAACAGATCATTTCATCATCAAATTTTATTTTATATAACTATTCTTCTTTAATTTTTTTTCTTGACTGACGAAAACTGTACAAACAATCTCACAACCTGGACTTAGTGAATATTTATTAAACTAACTAGAAAAAATTAAAAACAATATTATAATTTTATCAATTAAATTCGTTCCGAAATTATCTCGTATTATACAACGGATCATTATCTCGTTTACTTTATCGCGAGTTAGGCATAGTCGACGTAGGCAACGATGCATAGTCGAAGCACTATCTTTTCTATCTATTAATTTCGATTTTTTTTTTTTTTAATTCGCAATCGAAGAGGGATAAATCGAAGCATCGAAAAGAGGTTTCACGAGCAGGACGTTGTTTCGTCGCTATTATTACGCCACACAAAATTGGTCAATCACACGAATACGAGTAATTTACGTCAAATGAACCTCACCAGGAAACTGTCCCGACTTGGAGCGTGACCGTTGTACGATCTATCGATCCTGGTATTAGCCGAGGGATCCATTATGTTGCAGCTTCACCATCTTCTCTATGCAAAAAGAATCTCGTGTATCGTAAAAGCTGATTACGCGTGCATCTACGTTTACTTTTTAACGTGAGCGTATTTTATGAAATAATCGTATATCTATAAATCATCGCCTATTATATTGAAATCTCTCTTTATTTATTTATTTATTTATTTTTAGACATGGAATCTCTATTTTTGAGAAACGAACATAAAATCAAGGTTTTGTATAAGAAAAAGGAATTGGTTCTCGAATCGAAGTCAATACATTTATTTGGCTGGATTTAATTCAGACGTACAAGGTAAGCGATAAGATTATTAAAAATAAAAATTTTCTCGATTATATTAAATTTATATATTATATTATATTAAAAGAGAATATTATTGATCATATACTTGAATCATTACAAATATTTGCATTTCTAAATTTCTTTTAACATCTTTCCAGCAGGTTAAATGAAGCTAACTCCAAGATTTATAAAAACATATATGTATCATTGAATTTCCTCTTTCGTACGCAAAAACAAGATTCATCATGTTGGCAGAAAATAAACAATACGATAAAAAATTATAGAGATTCCTGTTGAAAAAAAAAAAAAAAAAAAGAAAAATAATTCTCGAGAAGTTTATATTGCCGACGACAGTACCCTTTTACAAATTAATGCGCGCTCGTGGGCGTAGACCCGCCACATCTCGTGCACAAGCACACAGTTTTTCGTGATGGGTCGGGCACGGGGAGGAATCGGCTCATTTGTTGCGTATTAGCGGAGGATAATTAGGTTTCTCGAGGCTGCCGCCTTTTGCGAACCAAGCGACTTCAAGAGTCTTCCGAAAAAAAGAGAGGAGGGAAACGAATGAGGTACGCCTACCCCTAGAAATTTTCGTCGTGAGAAGGAAAATCTCGAAAATCACCGGTTGCCAGCCGAAAGTTAATCGATTCCAACGATTCTACCATTTTCCTTGTCGATACAATAAGAAAAAACAAACAAGATCGACTTACAATTGTATTGTCTATCCTCTAATTGAACAAATACTTGTTGTTTACATTAAAAATAAAAGGAAAATAATTTTTGGATTAACATATTTAAATTGTATTTATGTTATCAAGGTAATGAGATAGAAGTTGAATTTTTATTTATTGTTACATTTAAAAAATGAAAAGAAAATAATTTTTGGATTAACATATTTAAATTGTATTATTTATGTTAGGATAATGAGACAGAAGTTGAATGGATACTTGTTACATTAAAAATGAAAACAAAATAATTTTTGGATTAATAATATATGGATTAATATATTTAAATTATATTTATGTTATCAGGGTAATGAGACAGAAGTTGAATGGATACTTGTTGTTACATTAAAAAAATGAAAAGAAAATAATTTTTGAATGAACATATTTAAATTATAGTTATGTTATCAGGGTAATGAGACAGAAGTTGAATGGATACTTGTTGTTACATTAAAAAAATGAAAAGAAAGTAATTTTTGAATGAACATATTTAAATTGTACTTATGTTATCAGAGATAGAAGTTGAATGGATATTTGTTACATTAAAAATGAAAAGAAAATAATTTTTGGATTAACATATTTAAATTATATTTATGTTATCAGGGTAATGAGACAGAAGTTGAATGGATACTTGTTACATTAAAAATGAAAAGAAAATAATTTTTGGATGAACAGATTTAATTTGTATTGTTATTATGTTATTATGGATAAACGTATTCAAATTGTATTGTTATCAGAATGAGACAAAAGAAGAGATAGCAACTTTATAATTCTTACAAACGACACTGATCTAAAATGAAGATTTTACAAATTAGACGTTAAGGATCGTTGGGATGCTTTACAAAACTTGTCAACTTTTTTCCAATCCCCTTTTTCTTCCTCTTCTTTTTCTTTTTCTTCCTCGACGTATTTTACGACACTTTAAATACAGGGGGGCTGAAAAGTGCGGACAAATTTGACTGGTTTACGAGTCAAGCCACTCCATCTACATTCTTTCTCCCTTTTTTCTCCAACTTTCTGCTCTTTTTTTTCTTCACAGATACTTCTCCGATTAATCCAGAATAATACACGAATGAAATTTGAAGAAACTGCTGAAGAAATTGCTGATAATCTTTATATAAAAAAAAATTTTTGCGAAACAAAAGCCTTTCCAACATCCTCCTTCATTTTATGAAGACACAAAACAGATTTACGCCTTTTATTGACCAATCTTATCGCATTCACATTATTTTTACCGATATAAATATCAAGTTTGCTTTCCCACTTAGAATAGCGACAATCGATATATATATATATTTGAGAGAAAAGTTGGAAAATATAAGAAAATATATGTATTTCTTTATTTTTGTCCACATATTTCTTTCATATTAATCGATATTAAAGGCTCTACGAATTTTTTGAATTCATCTAATGGACACATCTTATCGCAATTAGGAAATTTAAGAACTCGAATATTATCCTTATCTTTATAAAGCACCTGTGAACAATAATAGTAACAATAAATCTAATTGTAAAAATAATAGAAATTAATTTTGAAAAGTTTTAATTTTATGTGATTTTTTTTTAATCATTTTTACTGATCATCTTTCAATTTCAAAAGTAATATTCTGTCAATTTATTTTTTATAGAAAATACTTTTTTTACCTGAACGTAATATTCGTTATTGTCTTTGTGTAATTCAAACATCAGACTATTACCATAGTAAGGAATTTCGTTGTCGAAATTATTCAATGCAGAAAGTATACATGCGATATTTGGATCATGTGCCACATACATAAACGCTTTTCGCCTATCTTTTTTGCTTATATGATCATCAACATGATTTAACCATTCGCGAATCCATATTCCTGTCGAGTGAAACAATTATAAATAGTATAATAAATCGATGAAATCACATTGTATTAATTTTTAGAATTTTTTTATTTTTCCATAAAAATAAGAAAAGAATGACAACGAAATTTAAATTTACCGCCTGATATTTGTTTTGATTCCAGAGTACGAGTACGAATCAAAATGTCGTATATAGCTAATTCGTCAAGTTTCCCGTGAGGAAAAACTGATTTCGTCCATTCTGGTAATTCCAAACCAATATTATTCTAAAAAAAATTATTTCTATTTACGTTTTCTATATAGACAAAAAAAGTATGTTAATTATTTTCAATCTCTATCGAATTAATTTCAAAAGTTGAAAAGATACCTGATCGAATAAATGTTGATATAATGAAAATACTCTTGATTGTGTGATATTACCACCTGTGTGTTCAGACAAGTATTTATAAACATCTCTATTGTTTTTTTCAAATTGTATCACATCTTTGTCCGTTTCTTCCACTATGTTTCTCAACATATCAAATCTTGGAGAAAACTGAGTATTATAAAGACAATCTATAGTACGTGGTATTGTCCATACAGGTATAGGTTGCCAATTCAAATCTGGATTCCACCTAAAGTAAATTTTTATGAAGTTACCTTATATAGTAATATAGTTTGTTAAATTGGCAACCATTAAATTTAATTTAGAACCTTTGTTCTTTGGAAGGTGGATATAGTCCAGCTGCCACGAGTTGTCCACTCATTACAGTTCTATCTACTTCATCCGAGCGAAACCAAATATTTTCTTTCGTGTAAATTTCTCCCAAAAAATCCTCGTATCTTTCTCGAAAGAATTGGCCAACTTTGTACATGGTCATTTTACCAACCTACGTAAATTAAAATTTGTCCACAATTAATTCGTGTTATTTAATCGAATTCATTTCTTTTTTTTTTGTATAACATTTGGAAGAAAAATTATGTATATCGTACAAATTAATTAGAATGATTAAAAAATGATATTAATACATACATTTGTTAAACCTCCTTCTCCCGCAGGCTCGTAAGTATAATTGATGTAAGGATCGTTAGGATAAAAATTGATATTCGATGGCATTTTGTTTCCATGTCTAAATATCGTCTGTACAAGTTTCAGTTCTGCCAAAGATGCTCGACAACAAAGGAGGCAAACGATGAATCGTAGAGTCCACGTGGTATCCATCGTTCTGAAAGTAATTGAAATATAATTTAACAAATAAATTTATAGCTTTATTCAAAATATATTATCTATATTAAATTAAAAAAGATTCCATATAATATTTTCTTTCTATTTTTTTATTAAATAAATCTTGCTACTTTTGTGATATCGATAATTATATTACAAAATCTTACCAAATATTGTGCGTTGAGCGTACTTTTATTTCGTTCGAGCAACGTTCATATGTTTATAGTAGATAAAACTACGAAGAATTGGTATTTTAAAATATAAAAAAAGAATCTAATGTCAACGCAGTTTTATGTGGTGGACAACCGGTTTATCTAACTAACGATAGGCTATCGAAAAATGTCACAACGATCGAATATTTTGTTTCATTTTTTTTTACAAAATAATCTAAAAAACAAACATGTAGAAAATTGAAGTATATTCGATAATTCGATAAATACTCATTACTGTAACATTCTGTTATTTCGCAAATATTCTTCTTTTACGTACACTATACTGTTATATATACATATCTAAATTGAACTTATGTTTTATGTATGACACCTGTTAACTTGATAATTATTTTACAAATATTGATATTCAGAAATGTATATATTATTATAATTTCGATAATATTCGAATAATGATTTTAGAAAATACATTATATACATGACAATACTCTAGAAACGGATTTTATTATTAATCGATTCTTATAAACTTCATTATTGTTTTATTCTATCATATAATGAAAAATATTGATTCGATATTTTTAAAAAAAGATGCACTATTATCTACAAACAATGTAATTTACTTGTAATTCATCAATGTTCAAGTTTTTAAAATATTTCCATTATTCATAAAATATTTAATTTTTCAGAGATATATGTGTGTGTAATTAATGTGTTTTATACTTTTTTTTCAACACTTAAAAAAACAAAAATGTGATTAAAAAAGACGGTAATTAATACGTTTAATATAAATTAATATAAATTACTGAATTACAGATACGATTGAAAATACGTGCAAAACATTAGTTTAGATTTAAACTGCAGATCATCTCCAATTGATAAATTAATATTGGAAGAGAAGAAAAATTAATGTAGGATGGAATTCTCATTATTATTAAAATAACTAATCAATTATCTAATTTTATATATATATATAAAATTAGCCTAGGATGTAATTCTCACTATTATTAAAATAACTAATCAATTAATTTTATATTTTATATATATAAAAATAATTTTATATATTTTATATATATAATTTTATATATATAAAATTAACGTAGGATGGAATTTTCACTATTATTAAAATAACTAATCAATTGCCTAATTTTATATATATATAAAATTAACGTAGAATGGAATTTTCACTATTATTAAAATAACTAATCAATTGCCTAATTTTATATATATATAAAATTAACGTAGAATGGAATTCTCACTATNGCTCTCTATAGAAATTATCTTCTCGACTCGATGGATAGAAAGAGAGAAGAAGAAGAAAGAAGAAGAGGGGAGAAGGATTAAAAAATTAGCGGTCGTTCGTCCGTTTCAATTTTTGGCGATAATTCGATAAGTGGAATCGCGTCGGGAGAAGGATGGAAGAGAGGGAAAAGGGAAGAAAAGAAAAGGAAGAAAGAGAAAAAGAAAGAAAAAAAAAAAGGGAGAAAGAAAGAAAAAATGGGGCGGTTGCCGCGTCTGAAGCGCGGCAGGAACGCGGCGCCTCGTGTTCTTTCTCTCGTCTCTCCTCTCCCCGGCCGCGAAAGGAGAGCCCCCAGCGAACAAGAAGGACGAAGGAAGACGAGGGGCGTGTCCGGTCGCGCGGCTTCTACAAAGAGATGCCCACTTCCCTGTCGACCCCTTCCACACTCCTCCACGGGGATCCCTTCCACGTGGGCCCCGGGAGTCCTCCGTTCCCCACCATAAGGCCCTAAGAAAAGCGGGCAGCATGGTCCAGACCACGAGATCCCCGGTTTCTAAAGTCAGTTTACGCAACGCTTCCGTACGCGAACCATATAACGCCATTCATCCTTCGCGATCCTCTCCGCGACTCCTTTCCCCTCTAACGAACGATGATCTCTCCTCGTTTCCAAATTTTCAACTTCCTTTAAGTTTTCTTTCTTTTTTTTCTCTCTCCTTTTTTTTACCATTTTTCCGCACGAAATGACGGAATTCGTTTAATTAAGGAGAGGAACGAACGATAATTCCTCTTCCTCCTCCTCGAGGGAGAGAGAGAGAGAGAGAGAGAGAGAAAGAGAAAAAAAACAGTAATAGTGTTTTTATTATGCGTTGAATCGTCATATATAGATATATATATATATATACATACATACATATATATCAGAGAGAAGAGAGCGAGAGAAAGAGAGAGAGAGAGAGAGAGAGAGAGAGAAAGAGCGAGAGACGTTTCACGAGAATGACCACTTACGCCAGTTTCCAGCAATACGAGGTGTTGGATTCGGAGGGTTACGGGTCGGCGAGTAGCCCGGAATCGAATCCGCGTAGCTGGGCCCAACAGGAGATATACCCTCAACCACCGAGATCTAGGGGTAGCAGTTGCGGGAGCGTGAGCTCGGTCGATTGTCAGAATCGCGAGTACCAGGAGATCGGCGCGACGAACGCCACTTTCCGCTTGGCCGCCACCCCCGCTTCCTTCAACCTCGAAACCGAGTTCTACGAGTCCCCTTACTATCAACAACAAGCTTGCCGGAACGAGCATCATCATCATCGCCATCATCATCATCATAATAACAATAATAATCATCATCATCATCACCACCATCATCATCATCATCATCATCATCGTGATCACGAAATCGGCCACTCCTCGAGCGGATGTAACTCGAGGACGATGAGGGAGAAGAACGAGTGCGCGAACGTTTACGACGGATGTGTGACCGTGGCTCGTGCCGATTTCTCCACCACCAGTCAGGATGGTAAACAGAACGTGCCGCCAAAAATGGATCAGCAACATCATCATCATCATCATCAGCGCAACATGGATACGGGGAACGACAGGTGCGATTTCGTTGGGCAGAGCGAGGAGAGCTTCTTCGGTATCCCGAAAGGTGATGGTGGTTTTTTGGCTAGGAATAATAGCGGGGAGAACTCTTATGGACAAAGAGGCGACATTGTTTATTTGGGTGGCACGTACACCCATGTGCAGAGGAACGAGGGCTACGTTGTCGAGCAGGGCGAGGGGGAGGGCGGGAAGCGCGACACGGCCAGGTACCAGGGGAAGATCGAATACACGTCCGGTGAAAAGACAAGGGAGAACGTGCATCACAACAGGATGAAAAACGGGACGACGCCTGGTATAGAGGTGTTGAGGAAGAGACGGCTGGCCGCGAACGCGCGGGAAAGAAGAAGGATGAACAGTCTGAACGACGCGTTCGATAGACTGAGGGACGTGGTACCTAGTTTGGGCAACGACAGAAAGCTGAGCAAGTTCGAGACTCTGCAAATGGCGCAGACTTATATCGCGGCGTTGTACGAGTTGTTGCAAAGAGAGTGAACTTGGAACATTTCGCGAAAATGTGCGATTAATCGTCCAGCGATCGCTTCTATTCGATAAATTTGCTCGATGAAACTTGCAAGTGGATAATTTACGTTGGACCGATTGAAGAGGAACGATGTCGCGACGCTTGATCGACGTTGAAAGGTAAATGACGAAACGTTGAAGGGAAAGATTCGAAAATCGACGAGAATCGATCTCGTTCCCACCCGATAGTTTAATTAGCGATAATTGGTGCGCGCAAACACGTCGCTAATGCTTTTCCCTCCGCGCGGCCTTGTTGCCGGATTCCAGAATATTTTTTCATAGATCGAATCGCGATTGCGATGCGTTGATACGCGAAACGAGCCTCGATGTAGTTTCAGTGTTCTCCAATCCAGATGCTCTCTTTCTCTGTGTAAAGCGATGTGTAAAGCGAAAAATGAAAGAAATCGAAATTAAACGAATATCTCGCGATCAACAGGTTGGGGATCGCTGCTTTGAGCGAATATCGAAAACGTATACGTGGCTATCGCGTATTTTAATCGTAGGATTCGTGTAAATATTTGATTAGACGCAATTAAGTTATTGTGACGTTGTTTAGGTAATTGTGTACATATATATAAAAATGGGGGATCTCTCGATCACGATGATCGATCCGTGCGACAGCGAAAAAAAAAGTAAAGCTATTTCTTCTCTGAAACAGCAGAGAGAAAAATTATGTTTCTCGTCTTTGGCTCGAGAAAAAACAGTTTCGCGAGATACGCGACGAGCATACTTTCTTTTCTTTTCTCTTCTTGGTGAGGATGATTTTGATTTTATCTCCGATTAAAAAAATCGATCGAATAATTTTCGCGAAAGGAAATTTACCGTGATGATAATAACACGGGAATCTCGTCGATTAAATTTTTTGAGATGAACCAAAGAATCCGTTAACAGTTTAAGGAAAAAAACAGTGCGTCGCGATTATTTTTTCAATCACAGTTACGATCATGTATACTACCGGTTTGAATCGTACGAGGTGTTGATATATTCTTGTGATACATTCTCCTTTAGAGGATCGATTCGAGAGGCGAAAACAATCAACGATCATCCTTCGAAAACGGATATATATTCCCCACGAACATGTTGACACCCGATAATAAAGAATAGAGCGGAAGACAAAAGCGAAAGAGGACAGGTTGTTTGGATGGTTTCCTGCGATGTTTCTCCCGCAATTAGGGATATGCAAAAATGGGAGGACAAATGGCGGTGGTCGGCCACCTCCACTTAGCAGTCAATCACAATTAAATACAATTTTGCGCGAGCTTCGGCCCCTGGTAATGGCGCAAAAAGAGAGCAAATTGAAATCTCCTAGCTGACAGAATGATAGATGGTGGCGCGCAGACGCGAAAACACGGGGGACGGAGAAAAAGAGGGATAGAGATGGAACGGCGGAGAGTTACCTTCCCCGCAGAACGCCGCTGTGAGAAAGCTGGTGCTGCTGCTGTTGCTCCTGCCTTTGCTTCGAGCCGAACAACGGGCGAAAATGCAAAAGTGTAAGACCAATATCTTCTCCTCTTGAAGAAAATATATCGTTTATAGAGAACAACTACATACGTTATACGTATATTCGATCGAACGCTATCCAGTTTTCCGTTATTCCATAATTTAACATGACTACGCAAAATCCTTCTGATTGCCATTGTTGTGTTCTCTCTGACGACTGAAATTGCGTTCTAATACACTTTTGAAACTGGTCACTCGTTACTATACCACGTTTTATCATTTAATTCGATGCTTTTTTAAACCTTTTGGTAATATCTATCCAAGATATGAAAAAAATAATTGATAACCACGCAACTGATCGTAATGAAATGTCGTGCGTTATCGCGCATGCTCAATTAAACTAGATAGAAATTATCGTTCGTCCGAAAACGATAGCGACGATTAATCGAGATTCGAATAAAAAGAAACCGACCTCTTGTGACCCGACACGAATCTATTTCCGCCTAACTTCTTCCGATAGAAAGATTCAATCGAAGAGAAAAGAAGACGTTCGTGATGACGACGAGCGAAGGAATGTCTTCGTTCCAATATATAATCGAATATTACTATCGATTCTCGATCGTCTGTCGAGATTTTGTACGGACGAATAACGAGAGAGGACACGCTTTGGATCCATTCGTATAATAGGTTAGGTGTTGAGTCGATAGAGGTCGTGATCGCGGCGGTAACGCAGGCAGTTTGTTATTCACCGTGGAAAAAGTGGATTCGCCACGCGTGGTTTTCTTCGTTTCGCGTGGATATAAGGTAATATAACGTGGATTCTGGACAGAGACATCGTGTCACCCGAGCGGAACGTGTTTGCAGAGATGCTTCTTCAGAGTTTTGCAATCGATTCGTTTGCCGGTTTCTCTTAGATTCTCGCTTCCTGCCGCGCTGAAAGAGTTTTCTTAACCTCTTCAAGGGGGGATAATGGCACGTAATGCGCGCAAACATGGAGTGTTGATATATTTGTGGATCCATTTTAGATTCTTATTTGTTTGATTTTTATCTGAGTCAATTTCGTTTAATGCAGAAAAACATCAATCGGTTATCAATTTTTTATCAATCCCTGTATTTATCTTTATGTTAAAAATATTATATATATTAAAAATCCAAAGATTTTTCACAAATATATCAACAGTCTTTTTTCCCTCAATCGTGACATAGAAAAAGATACTATGAGTGTTATCATGATATAAATTCTACAACTTTTTATTGATATTTTAAAATTACCGTGGGCGGTAAATTAGAAGGACGAAAATTCGAAAAAGATCGGCTCTATTTTTTTTTTTCAAATTTAAACCTCGTTATTCTCCATTCGTTTCGTGGATGAAATGCGTAGTTGGTTTCTTCTCGCGTGCTCGTCTTAGACGAGATTATCATAACTCGCTTCTAATTTGCAGACTAGCGACCAGAGAAACGTAAAAGAGACAAAGGGGGAGGGGAGGGAGTCTCTTTCGAACGGCGCCCTTCAAATTACGGTGTTTCTCGAAAGTATTGGACTCGAGGATTCGAGAAATGATCGAACTATCGTCGTATAATAAACATCGTTGTTTCTTTACCAGCGAGACGAGTGGTGAGATTATGCAAATCGGAAAGAGGCGAATTTTGTAAAGCGTTTTTTTTTTTTTTTTTACGTTGTTTCGGGTCGATAGCACTGCCATCGAGAGTACCTTTGTAAATAAATTGTACGTTTTATATATATTAATACGACGTTATGATAAGATTTAATTTAAGAGGAGATTCGAAATAGGCAAAACAAATTCCCACCAATAATGTTCCTCTAAAGAGACCAAATGTATTTAAGGATGTGCAATGTTGAATAAAAAACACATTGGAAGATTCGACTTTTTTTTCTCTTATTTCACCCGTTGCGTTCAATTCCACATCCTATTTTTCTTCTAAAGAATTAAAAATTATCGCTCTACTCAAAAAAAACCTTTTTAAAAATCCAAAAGAAATTTCTTGTTCTTTTCCCTTTCTTTTTACTCGCAAACTTATTCTTTTTTTCGCTCATCGTTTCCGAGAGAGAGAGAGAGAGAGAGAGAGAGAGAGAGAGAGAGAGAGAGAGAGAGAGAGAATTATGGAGATTTCGTAGTGCGTTTGAACGAAAACGGATGATCGAAAACGCTAGCAAGTATACGATTGGGACCGGGAAGATTATCAAAATCGATCGAGTCTGCCTTCCATAATTTCCAACTCGCGGAATGAAGGCTCGATCGAGCCGTGTCGATCGTCGGTGCATAAGGATGCACATTCGAGCAGAACCGCCTAAACTCTTCCTCGAGGCCATCGATTTTTTTTCCAGGAAGCCTAGGATATAACTGCGCCGACAATTTCGAGGACGCGACGAAAAAATAAATAGCCACTTCTCTCCAGACCCTCCTCGATGCTCGAAGGGATACGACGATGAAACCGTTTTATCGGTTCATTAGGCTAATTGAATTTTCTCGATTTAATCTCTTACCTATTATTTCTCCTTCTATTTTTGCGTGTTTGAATACACATACATACACATATATCTTTCCAAATTATGTTATATCGATTGTTCATTATTGTTCGTTAATGTTAAATCGTTAACACGAATATAGAAAATTTGATTTATCGACGGTGGATATTGGGTGGAAATTTGTCGAGCGTCTCTAAACGTGCGGAAAATAAAAGAAAATAAAAGCACAGAGAGAGGGGCACAAAGCGCGCTTAACCGCCGATTTCCATTGGAAGTTGAGCAGCGTACGGGTAATTGGTATCTTACGCGGTCGTTGGGAGAATAAATCGATCGTAGCGAACGTTGTTGGGTTTGATAGAATGCCGGATAGCGGCTCGCACAAAGCGACCTTCGTCTGGTCGAGTGAACCTGTGCTACCAGCCAGACAAATTGATACCAGGCAACGCACTCACTCTCCCTATCTTTTCCGCCTGTACACGGGGGTACCTTACGTGCCTCGAGTAAGTACGGGCGCATAACTCGCACACCTCGATATGCTTCGAAACGATCCAAGCCGGCTAGCTTATGCGCCTCTTACAACCTCGTATTAACTCCAAATAGTCCATCTCGCGTTTACTCTTTGGATCTCGACGAATCCAGAATAAAACGAAGCGTGCGCGACATCGAAGCGAAAAAATTATCCGATTCGAACCGATGTCGCATGGCAGTTGTGACGAGTGGAGATACAGTAGATTGTATTCTACTAGTCGTCAAAAATGTGCGTGGTAGAAAATTCTGGGACTTTTATTTCGGGAACTAAAATGTAACGAACGAAATTTTATTGTACGATAAAATAGAAATATTTTCCGATTAACGTAACGATCGAATGCTGGTGTTTGAATTAAAATAATATTTAATTCGTTAAATTGAATTATAAGTTGGTTATAAGATTGTTCGTAATTCAAGTATTTTTTGCCTGTCATTGGTGATGAGACGATTGTGTCGGTAAATTAGATACACTGTAGCATCCCTCGAGTGTTTCAGTCGGTGACGATTACAAGTCGTCGTAATAAAGTTAATGCGCGTTACTCCCCATACAATGGAGTAAACCGTTGTTATCGCGATTACTGTTATTATCGCAATTATCACGATTGCTCTAGGATAAGGTTCGTCGAACGGTAATAAGCGTGAATTACGCTTTCAGATGGGAGAAGCTGCGAGATGTTTCTGCGAGATGTATGAAAATTAATAGCGCGTGCATGTTTATGTATATTTACGCGCATTAAATGCATAATCGTCTAACTACGTTTAAATATTACGCGAATATTTTTAATCGAATAATCGCGATTATCTATATAGGATATCAAATATTTATTTCATTTTATAGTTTATACAATTTATTGGAAAAGAATAATTCGAATAAAGGAGTGCAAACATTCTCACGTAAATCGCTTTATATACACCGGACCTCCGTAACGCAGAACAGTAGGACAGGTCCGGGTTTCTTGATGTCTACATGACTTTGCTATTTCCTCGATCTCGTTTGCTACGCGTCAACTTCGGTATTATGCGCTGCTCGTCGAGACACGTCGATGCTCTCTTGCATCGTTCAAAAGCAATTCAATGCCTAAATTTCATCGAGCGATACGGGCACAATGACTTCACGAGTGAACGCTTCGTAAAGAGAAATCTCGAAATGTTACACTTCCGATGAATCTCTCGAACAAACAATTTCTCGTCATCGTTTATCTCTTTGATTTTACATCGTTCAATATCTCCAACTCGTAAAAAGTACAAACCATTCTCCTTTCGTAAAGTTTGAGATTAAGATAAAAATTCTCAACTCATTCATACCACTTAATAAAACCTAAATAAAAAATTGTCCAATCCCTTTGAACGAAGCAAAATCACTCGCTGACAATGGATGCGTGGAAGCATGTCTCGCTTGACTGCACAATTACGCGCGACCGCTAATACCACCTTTCTCGAAAAGTCCCTAGCACAATAACGGTTAGGTAGGAGACAACGCGAGCAATCTTTGGCGGAGCAGAAGAGAATCGGCATAGAATCGGGAAGAAGAAGTGCGTTGCACAGCCGTGGCATTGATGATTCGCGCATTCCTCGTCGGATTAATCGATTTAACGGTTGGAGGACGGGGCGAGCAGTGTCCACCGCTATATACCAACGCTGCTATAATTCGATGGAGTGGCGTTGAGCGTACATCTCTGTTTGGCGCGTCATCCACGTCCGATTCCATTGACCGTACGTTTTTGCACTGTCACCGCGTAACCGTTCACCGAACAGAGAGGACGGAGGATAATACGAACAGATCGTTAATTCTAAGGATACAACATCGAATACAACACGGAAGCCACACGCTTTCGAAATCGACAAAATATACGAATTATGAAATTTTTATATGATTTTTTATACGCGAATTTTGATATCGACCAGATATCGTATCGCAACGAGAGATCGAAAATTATATTAAACGATGAGCCGTATAATAATGGATCGAGACTACGAAGGTTTACAATCGATCTGTATCGCGCATCGAGCACCAACGTACGACCTGTGCTGTCTCGATCGCGCATCGATAATTAAAATAGCCAAGCGTTCGTGCGCCTCTCCCTTCTATCTTCTATCTCCTCTATCGCGGACATTCACCATGCAGAGAAAGACATCAAGCCGCAAATCGTCCCTCCATTTCACGGTTCATAGCAACGTATTCGCCACGATCGACGTGCACTTGAAATTCCTTCGCGTATTCCAAGGTTGAACGTGTTAACGATTGAAACAAAATGTCCTTTCGATCCAGCTTTATTTCTATTCTTTCGAAACATTCTCAATTCGTGAATGATTATATATATATATAGAGTAGGTGGAAGGACCGGTTATCGTTCGATAGAAGAGATTCGAAGAGATGGAAAGTTGGAGAGAACGGTTTGAAAACAAAAAAAAAAAAAAAAAACGGCCACTGGCAATAGGATGGCGGATGCAAACGATAAGGGTGCAGCGTTGCTGCCGGGTACCGGTTTAACGATGAATCCTTGGTCAAGTTGGCCTACTGCGGACACACGATCCGATCGATAATATAAATTGGCGGGTTCGTTAGTGAAATCAGGTTGACGGGACCGGGGGCGTTTAAACGCGCACCGTGGATGAAACGGCGATAGAGTCGCGTTAACGAGAGAGAAAGAGGCGCGAAAGAGAAATGGGTCGGCGTCCGCTCAGGGCATCGCGCTATGTATCTTCCACCCCTTTTCGGCTTCGAGCGCCACCGCTCGAAAAAATGAGCCGACAACGCGCAATGAGAAAAATGATACGGCCGATTTTTTTAAGTAAACAAGCGTGCGTTATTCGCCATTTCCATCGATGGAAATTTCAACGGAACAATTAATCCATTCTCTCATGTGATTGGACCGTTGAAAAAAGAATACGTTCCTTTTTCTTTTTTTTTTTTTTTTTTTTTTTTTTTTTTTTTTTTTTTTTTTTTTTTTTTTTTATTTTTTTTTAGATATCGAAAGAATCGTGGTAAATGAAATACGAGGTATAATTGCGGTAATAGGTGATATCTATACCGATATTTCTCTCGCGAGGAACCTACACTCTTCGATACCTGTAGGGTAGCGCACCAGATTACCCGATAAACAATTTCACATAGAAACCTAGCCTATCTCTATCTCTCGAAGGAACGTGTTATTTTCAAAAAGGGTACGCCCTGCTGCTTTATATTCCGCGTTACATATATTATACAGGCGTCGCGAACACAGACGTATTCTTGATTGGATGGAAGAAAGGATCTAGACCCCGAAGGAAGGAAACGAAAACGGCATCGAACGCGGCTAATTGCCGCCTCTTTAATATCGTAAAACGGCGATAATTCAACGGTAGACCGTGTAATTAAGCATGATAAGTCACGGTGTTTTACGGGGGAGGCTTGGATACCCTCCTAGAGACGGATACATCATTTGCATTCCCGGCGGCGGATTCGAGATGGAAAAGGGGACAAGCGTCGATTTGCCACCGATCTTTCGATCCCCTCCCCCCTTTTTTCGCGCATTCATCACCGTTTAATCAGGGCGTGTCTGTCGGCGCATCTTCCAACATACGTGCGCGACTCTCCTCTCTCTCCTCTTCTCCACGTTCGAGGGCAGGTGTGCCACCTCCACCTAGAGGCAAGTCTCTCCACGCTCCACGATTTTTCGCCAGAATTGGGCATTATTAACCCGTAGTTGAAAAAATTAAAAATTTCGAATAAAGTTACTTCAAGTTAGTAATTACTTATTAAAGTAAGCTCTATATATAATAACTATTTGTTCGTAGTTATTATGATTGACCTACTATTATTATTATTGTGATTATTATTATATTTTGAACGATAAATTATCGAAGTAACTTTATTCGTAACTTCCGATATTAAATTTTTCCGGTGTTGCATTTCGTTTACAGGCATCGATGGAAGAAAATTGACGTGTTATGCTATCGAATATCGATAGTTGGTCAACTTGTTGAATGTAATATGATTTGGAGAAACGTGGAATTCCAATTCTATGAGCGAATCCGATTCAATCGATCGATTCTTGGAGTACGATTGCAATGGCGTTTCTGGAGGAGATCGGCGATTCGACGCGTGGAACTTCGTGCTTCCAGCGCAGGGAGAAGAAGAAATATCTTCCACGTTGAAATTAGCGCGATTATTCGTAGACTGGGATAAAATTGTGCTTTTCCTTCAATTGAGGGATTCTCTTGGATGAACCATCTAACTTGGACCCTGAAAAATATGGAATTCAATGAAAAGACGATTTTCAGCAAGAAATAAAAAATAAGAAAATGAACTATGAGTTTAAAGATAATCGAGATATGTAAGTTGTAAAGATATTTGTTTCACATATTCACTCGATTCTTGTGCATCCCAGCGATAATTGTATTAGTTTTTCTTTATTGGCATCGAGTCAAACTGTCGCTTCTTGCACGAATAATGAAAAAGAAGCGAATTTCAACTTTCTGCAAAACGTAGATTCGACGAAGAAAAAATATTCGAAATCCGTTCAAAGTGAAATGTACCTAAAAGAGAAAATAATTTTAATGCTGGATACATTGGAGATGCTAATTCATGCGGTATCTTATATAAATAATTGTTAATGTTAATGTTGACACCATATATATTTGTAAATTTTGCTTCACCTCTTCATTCGTTTCAAGCTGAAAAAATTATTATTATATTATTATTATAATAATAATATATAATTATAATTATATTATATAATAATATAATATATTGATATAACATTGTAGATTGGTGAAAAACTTACAGATTACGATGGAAATAGATTGCTCAAAGATTGCTTTACATTTCATTTCTGCATTCCAAAAAATTTTAACTCCATCATACATTTTGGGTTTTATAAGAACTCTAGGGTTTATAACTAAACCCTGAAATTCCTCCTGAAAATATTATAAAAAATTATAAAAAATTAATTATGAAAAATTATATCTCGTCAATTTAACCATTCGAATTAAAAAATATCCATATACAATAATAGTATATCCATATACGTACAGTAATACAAAAGTAGCGCGAATTCTTTTCAATGAAATGACGACAGAAACAATTTCCATCTTATTCCTCCTCCAATCGGAGGAAAGGATTTTCATTATTCGCTATTCATTATCCGAGAGACGGAAAGAAACGAGGTGAACGATGTTCCTCGAATCGAAACGGAAATCGGCGGCGTTGCGTCGTGGGCCGAAACCTCTCGTGGCAAGATAGTAAGTCAGAGTTAAGGTAGGTCGGGGCGTAACCCAGGATCAAACGAGTCAATAACTCGTGGCGTGCCTCCTCCACCTACGATGAGATATCAGGTTAGCCATACAATGAATGTGGGTGCGCGGCCGCGTGTATATTGTTGATATGTCTTCATGGAACCTCGAAACCGACATTCCTCCTCGACGAGCGACGCAAAAATTCTCTCTCTCTCTCTCTGCTCGATCCAAAACTATTTCTAACCGCGTTCCTTTCCATTGTCCCGTCTCGCTTTCCACTGGACAATCTTGCTCCATGAAGGTAATTCGGTGGGAAGTGTGTGCAAGCTGAATATGCACGTGTTCAGTGATGTTGTGGGAGGCGAACGTTGGAAGCGAAGATCAAGATATCGAGAACTTTGAAACGTACGTAGTTACATAGCCGGGTTGAAAGGACAATGAAGGCAGAAGGATAATTCAACCATCGAGACCTCGATCTGGAACAGAATTGAGATTACAATTTTATAAAGCAATTTATTGAAAAAGATTAAGTAATATTTATTTATAGTAGTTATTATGGTTGTATAAAACTTGTGTATTCTATGCTTTGAATTGATAAAATATATTTATATAATATATTCTTAAAGACTTAAGATAAAGAGTTAGATAAGAGTTAGTTAAGATAAGATTCTTAAGAGACTTAAGACTAAATTCTTAAAGACTTAAGATAAAATATAATATAAATATATTCTTTGATTTCAAATTTTGCTAGTCTCTCTCTGCTCTGAAATATTGAGAAAGAGAAACAACTTCAAAGTTGAAGCATTACTTTAATAGGAAGAAATTTTTATCAAAGGAGAAGAAATACAATTGTTATTTGGTTCTGTTGAAAGAAGAACCCAATGACGATTTCGAATCACTTGCATTGTATATTTTATATAGGAGGGAACTTTTATGGAAGGAAGAAAAATGCAATTAATTCTTTGCTTTTTGGTAGACGACTTTGAAGTTGAATTTACGAATAGGAGAAACTTTTTATCAAAAGAAAGGGATATGCAGTTGTTTCTCTCTACCTATTTCGGTTTCGAGGATGCTCGTATACGTGTATATACGGGTGCATAAAACGCGAAGCGTGGCTGCGTGTGGCACGAGACAATAATAATTCATCGCTCCGGGGCACGCAGCACGCAGCCTATGCTCGCGATTCTAATCCTCTGGCCAATTTGCACACAGCGCCGTAAAATAAAAGGAGCACGAGACTGCACGACCGTACAGTCTCTTTTGGATTGGCCAAACGCGATTCGTAGAAGAGGATTCTCGCAGCGGTGAGCCGATTCCGAAAAGAAAAAAGAGGCGACCAAAGAGGCTGCCGGATGTCTCTCAAAAGTGACGATGGGCTTCCATTGTTGAGATGAACATCGGGAACACCAAGCTACAGCATCGAAAAAGTTTTGGTCATTTCGTTGATCGACGAATCTTATCTTAATTTTATATCTATGATCTAGCTAACTATCTATATCTCACATATAAATGATGAAAATAAATACGTTGCAATCCTTCGATAAAAGTTTCTCCTTATAAGGTAATGGTTCCATTTCGAGTTACACTTTCTATCTCAATAAATTAATTTTATCAAAGAAAAAAAAGAGACTCTCGTTTCTATTTACCTCTGATTGCCACAGTTTGGAATCATATTCACAAGTCGTATTGTATTTCGTGTATGTTACGTGATCGCCGCATCGATAAGAAATATCGATAAGTTTACGTAATTTTTTCAAGACAAGTAAATATTATTCATTTCACTTTTGTCGTATTTATATTTCGTTTCAGCGTAGTTTTGGGATGATTGAAAGTTACGAAGCGGATATATTATTTATTTTCAACGTTGTGCTCAATCCATTATTGTGTTTAATCCATTCTTCATTGTAGAATAAAAATATTCGAGTTTTGCAAATTATAAGCTGTAAAAATAATACGAATCGTCAAAATTGTTCAATTATATTATAATTATTATAACTAATTAGTAAATCATTCAATCATATAATTATAATATAATGATTTTTATTTATGAATGCATTTTCCTTATGCAAGAAAGACCTATTGTTTTTCATAATTACATATAAATATAATAAAAAGTGAAAAAATTAAAAGATATAACTCACACGTGTATCGTAATGTTTACGCAAAGGAATTCGAATATAGATTATAATAAGAAAACAATGATATATCGATAAAAAATAAAAAATAGAACCTTTTTTGTACCATCTTTCGCACCTTCATTTTCAAAGAAGTTAGAGACGCAGGAAAAGAATTCTTTCGAAATGAACCCTTTCCTCGAGGGACAAAATTCTGGAAGGCGTGGAATGGGCCATGAAACCATGAAGTGTAACGTTCATCCGCGCGGAGGATGAATTCCTAGAGCGGTCAAAAACCTGCAGAAATCGGTCCAGAGACGGCTCAACGAGTAAATCTTTCCTTAATAAACGGCCCTCACAGCTATCACGAGAACGGTCGAGAGGGGTCCGCGGGCGAGGACCTAACCTCTTCCTCGTATCGAACGTCCTTTTCGAGTGGCGCTTCTCGTCTACAAGCTTGAGGCGGAATTTCGTGCGGAAAAAACGAAAAGAGCGGCGAAAGACGCCTTCCTATGAGGAAGGCGAAATGTCGTTGCACCGAACTGAGTCGGCGATTAATCGACGTGCAGGAGGATAAGTCGGCGTAACAACTTAATGGGGGTTTCTTCGCATCCATCCACGCTGCCCTCGAGCTCAGAACGTCGCGAATCTGCCTTTTCGTCTTAACCTTTCATTCGCCGAAAACAATAGAAACCTGGAAATTAATTCGTAACCTGTGATTATTTTTCCCAACACGAATCATGTTTTTAAGCGTCAACTTTGTATTCAAAATGTACAAGTGGAGAAAGAAGGTTATGTATCACGAAATATTCTACTCTCACGATTCGAGGTTAAGGGGGAGAAAAATTTTCGATTGAGCTAATAATACGGACCCATTGAAGTCATTTGTGTCAATTTATTTGCCGAAACAGATCTCTTTGGACCCACCAAAATATAGTTAATGAATAGTTGTACACAATCATAAGATATTTACGATGCGAAGTAATTTATTCGATTAATTTATTTTTCTTTGTCGGAATGACGTAATGTCGCCAGTAGTTTGCTTCGATAAATTGTGATCCGTTTGCAACTGTTGTAAGAAGCGAGTTGCACGCTGATTCGATATTATCGTTCACATCTGTGGCCATATTACATCGAGAAATAATTCACTTGTACTTTCTATTCTTCCCACTGTTCCCCATACACGTTTCACGTTTGCCAGAGTTTCGAAATTAGTCGCATACAATCGATCGATCAATCTCTCGCGAGATGTAATGTGGCGAATAGTTGTATAATTACCAGATGCGCAACTGTTTAATGCGCAACAATATCGCAAAATCGATCTATCGTATCGCAAATACTCGATTCAGCAAAACTTTTAATCGATTTACGCTATTACTACGCGATCTCATCACGTTTGTTTTCATTACATTTATTGTCTTGAATTAACGTTTCAATTGCTAAAACAGCTCGATGATCCGTGATATCGGATTTATTATATCTCGTTTTGCTCAAATTAACTTGATATTTGAAGAATTGAAAGAAACATTCGATGACTCAGTTTGAAAGAATGAAACGATCAACGATACGAATATTCGAAAAATGAAAGAAAAATCAACGATCATCTTAACGTTACAAAACTGATTTGTAATATCTATTTTACTTATAAATTATTGTAATTAAAGTCGTGAAAATAAGTAAGATACATATAATTACATTTCTAATAAAAGTTAGGTTAAGTTAGAAAGAAAATCGCTGCAGCACCTGTTCACGATTCTCACGAAAAGTTGACGAGAGCAAACGGAGCGCAAACTTAATTGTCGACGACTGAAATCTCTGAAACGGGCACTGACCTTCCCTTCCTCGACGAGTCCTCGACGAAGCTGTCGCGATTCCACGCACTCGAGATACGCGCGCAACGAAGGTCGTGCGAATGCTTAATCTCGTATGTGATCTTGCGCGGGGAGAAGGAGAGAGTGGAGAGTCGAGATAAAGCATGAAGAAAGCCGAGTGGTAGGAGGTTAACTAGCATCGATCTCCAAAGAATGGAGAGAACTAGAAGCGGCAATTAACTCGAGTTTCAGTATCTCTGCTCGTCTTACCTTTTAACCATAGTTTTAATCGTGGTTGCGCTTTATCCACGGATACGTCCTTTTTTACTCGACTCTTTACCATCGTTTCATTCCCATGTCGCGAGATCGTAATCTAGGTTATGTCATCATCAACGAGATTCTGTATGTCGCTCTCTTGTTGAAACGGTAGTTATACGAAGATGGAAAAAAAAAAAATAGTCGTGTTCCATCCTCGATGATGAATCGATGATGAACGCGATTTGAATCTCGTTTAAATTTATTCTAGGTAGATTTTGTATTCTCGGAATCAAAGTTGGACGCCAACCGAGAATCTCGAATAAATTTACTTTAAGCGATTACTTATTAACATGCTTGAATAATATTTATTCGTGGCTATTATATTTGATCCGCTCTTCGTATAACCTCGGCTGTTTGGCAGTACAGTTATCCGCGATTATTCGATGCTTCGAGTAATAAATTATCGAAGTAACTTTATTCTTAATTTCAACTATTAAAATCTGCCCAACTCATATATATTGTAACGTATACGAGCAATATACGACTCTCGTTCGTTTTATTTTACTTTTGCAATAAATAAATATTCTATATGTATCAAACATCATCGAATATTCATACTTTCGATCGATTCGATCTAAAATTTATTCGAAATCGTTCTCTTGAATTCTCATCGATCGGAGAACAGAAGCATCGTTTAAACGATCGGTTGGAAAAGGAAAGAAAAAAAAATGGGAAGGTTCTATCCCCCGATAATGAACATTGTTCGTGTCGAGACCGTCCTTCTTTAGTCGGTCCTCCTTCTCGCAGTCATCGAGTTGACTTATTCGCGCTCATTGTCGCCATTCCAAGTCCCGAGGGGAAGAGAGAACGAGAGTGCGACGCTGGCTAACCAGGAAAGTCGAGGAGGCTTCGACCTAGGAATTTATCACCGCTACCGACAGCCATTAATATGGCATTGTGCGGCCGCGGACACCGGCAGTGGCTCGTCCATCTTTTCGTGACGCGTTAACGACTAACGGCCAAGGACAGCTTCTCGAGCTACGTGGTACACGCAATTGTCACCACCGACTCGCGATCCAGATTCTCCTTCCAATCGTTCGTCTCTCTATAATAGATACGCGAAGATCGATCGAGCATCAAATATCGAGTATCTTTTTACGCAATCGATTCGAACAAATTTACATTTAGAGATTTATAAAAAATCGGGAGAACGAGCGACGTCAATTATTTTCGATGTGTAATGGGATTCCGATTGAATGACAGGCTGCTGTAATCGTTAATCGCGATTGTCGAAGAAATCTTTATTGGTGAATGTATTTACAACGTATTCGTTAACGAATCAAAGATTCTATACGATTTCCTTGTGCGGAACGCTTTATTGTTCAGCCTGTAGGTCTTTGACATCATTAGGATTAATTGAACGAGAATATTAGAATCAGAAGAATCTAATAGATGTATATAATTTTCATTTAAAAATTAAGAGATTAAATAAAATGGATTATTTTAGGAGGAAAGAAATTTATGCATATTATATTTATTTTCGTTGGAAGAAAGCGATGGCACTTTCAGATTTTTATCAGTATCAATTTACAAGCAATACAAATGAGATGCGCGGCACCTCGATCATACCGTAAGATGGGGGTGAAGTCTATGCGAAATCCGACAATTACTAATTTGCCGATGCTAGTATAAGATATCCCGATAAATCTCGCATTATCCTATCTCGCCTATTGCTTCGTGTGAGTGCCGTTTAATGGAGAGAACGTTTACTTATATCCGTCTAAGTATACATATGGTGTCCTCCAGAAATCCATCATAATCGTTACCGACTGACGATATTCAACTATCTCTCACTCTTCCGCCATTCCATAATTCGATATAATCTAACACGCGAACAATTTTTTCGCTTATGCATAAAAAAAGTTTCGCTTCCTTATTTAAAATGAAAATTGATTTATTCGAAACGCGTTATATTTCATCGAGTTCACCGTGTATGCGTGTGTGTTGCACGCGCTTGTCAAGATCTATGCGGAAACGCTTAACTTATGAACTCATCCGGCGGATTGCCGGCAATATACCACAGGACCACGTGCGGCACACTGAATAGAAACGTCTTTGGACCGAACGATGCGGATTCCCGCCGTTGGATCTCTTCGTTTCCTGGATCATTGCCAAGGTGAAAACATCGGTACGTCACAGTCACCGCGCATGCGATGATTAATGATCGTTCGACAGTGCGTGGAGCGGATCGATGCTTCACTCGCACGTTACGATCAACCTAACCTCTACGTCTCGAGTAATCCACTGCTACCGATCGGTACCGCAAACAAAACTGTACTGGGAATTATAGTTCGGTGACCTGTTTCCTTGTATATCGTCGAATATATTAATATGTACTGACTACAGAGAATCAATAACACTTTGTGAAAGAATTCTTGGAGGATTCAAAGAGAATTCGAAATTGTTGGAAAGGCAAATTTCTTGGAAAAACTGCTATATTAAATATTCACGCGCGTAACACGGAAGTGCAGAATCGCGATTTAATGATTCATTTTACACGGGAACGAACACCTTCGTGTCGTGTCGCGAGTCTTACTTTTGGCTTGGTACCTCGTACCTCTTACGGACAATAAGATCTGGCAAGCGGAACAATGTTTCTGAATTGCCTCGTTACCGAAACCGTGAATTACGATTGCTCCTGCCCTCTCGCGTCGCGGAAGCTTATTAACATTTTTTGCTCGGAGCAAATAACGCTTCAAAAAGCACCGCATACGAATTAAAGTCATTCGAGTATACACGCGCGTATCCGTGTAAATTGGAGCATATATATGAGTATCTTTCAAATCAATTTTTTTATATTTAAACATAGGGAACCAATATTAATTGTTTCTGCACGCAAATATATGTTTTGTTTTATTTAATTCATTTTATGAAGCTAATTTAAGCCATTCGCAATTCCGAAACAATAGACGAAAGTAAGTGTCCTATTTTAAATCTTTCAGAAGTTAGATTGCAACGAAAAGCGTTTGTATTCACGTATCTTTGTTTTTTTCGTGAATTTTTGCGAATATTTATATCATATAGCATATTTTTCGATTCATCATATATAAAATTGAACGTACGTAAGAACTCAATATTGCGGTTCCAGAAAATTGTGTAACTACGCGTGTGTACGGATGGGATAAAACGATACCGGAAGGATGTTGCGTAAACGGAAGTGCGTGTGAGGCTTTTTGTTTCTTCCAGTCTTATTGAGGGATGCACCTGACAACAAGTTGTCGATACAATGGCCCGACTGGAAGTAGAAATGAATGGATAAAGGATACGAAAAATTACAACTCTTCAAGATCCGGACTTGCGTCATATCGTATCCTGACCGCGGATAAACGTCGTAAGAACAATGACCGCCTCGAGCAGTGAAAAGAAAAGCAAGAAAAGCAAACCGTTAATCAACCAAAAGTCATTAATTCAACAATTTTACCTATACATACCGTATGCATAATATTAAAATTTAATTTTATTTCAAAGGTACAATGGAACCTGATTGAATCCCTCTTTTCGTTCCCGATGAAAACCTACAGGATACAAAATCGCGAAAAAATCAAAAAAAAAAAAAAAGCAAAAGGAGGCTCATTCATTTCGTAATCGCGAAATCGACAGAAGCGGCAATCCAAAAGAAATCTCGATCCAAAGATGTTCACCCGATACAATCGCATAACCATCGAACCACGTGGAACCCCCGCCTGAGTGGCAAGCGTGCACGTCACGAGGCACGCAATCTCCGGGTCGTCCATACGCACGAAAATTATAACAGACCCCCAACATACACTTTCTCTTCTTCTTTCCATTCCAGCTTCCTCTCTTCTCGACGCTCTCTCTCTCTCTCTCTCTCTCTCTCTCTCTCTCTCTCTCTCTCTCTCTCTCTCTNTCTCTCTCTCTCTCTCTCTCTCTCTCTCTCTCTCTCTCTCTCTCTCTCTCTGTCTCTACCTCTGTCTCTCGATGGGGATACCGGTAAAGAACGGGAGCAAACGCAACGCGAGAAGAAAGAGATAAGAGCACGAGTGTTTAAAGGAGGATTGCTTCCGCAAAAATCGAGAATCTCTCGAGGTGTATTCGTTCGGAACTCGTTATATACGTTCCGTATGGCGGGTCCGGT